AGTGAGATAGACAGAGGGAGAGAGAGAGAGAGAGAGAGAGAGAGAGAGAGAGTGAGATAGACAGAGGGAGAGAGAGAGAGAGAGAGAGAGAGAGAGAGAGAGAGAGAGAGAGAGAGAGAGAGAGAGAGAGGGAGAGAGAGAGAGAGAGAGAGAGAGAGAGAGACAGAGAGAGAGAGAGGAGGGAGTGAGGGGAGGCAATCCGAGCCCGATGTGCTGAGGTGGAGGCAACTTTGCCCTCCGACCGCCGACCTTGGGTGCCTCCGAGGCTTTTGAGGATTCAGGACTTTTGGGTTAAAGATTTGGGCATTAGGGTTTTAGGAGGATTCAAGATCTCGGGTCAGGTTGATGCTGAGCATCACAGCACCTCCCTCCACCTCGGAGTGTCGGCACGCAAGGTCCTCAGGCCGGGGGGAACACCGTCGCGCTTTCGCGTCACCTGCTGGTGCTTGCGCAGGGTCGGGGCTGCGAGGCGCCTTGGCTTCAATCAGAGCCCCCCCCCCCCGCTGCTACCACTGAAGTTGTGTGCTCCTGCTGTGACTCCTGGATCACGAGAAGAAAACGAGACGAGGATGACAATGAGAACCGCAGTTTCAATTGCGAGGTGGAGATGGAGATGTGCGACGATGATGGTGAAGATGGTGCCAAAATTAAGAAGAAGACTAGCCAGAATCATTATAAGAAGGACAAAGCTATTCTGTTGCCACTGGTGGTGCTGGTCGTGCTGATATCGGTATGGTCTTGAAGGCCAACCACAAAGTATAGTCATTTGATGCCGATCCTTGCTTGTACGAGGACGAGGATGGTGATGACGACCATGGTGAGGATGCGACCGATGATACCAAGCTAGTGGTCGATCATGTTGATGACGACGATGATGACGATGCGAATGCTGGTGGGTGACGGGTTTCAGTACTGGAGATGATGGCGGTGAGGATGATGGCCATCGTCAATGTGCATCATGGTGTCACGCGCGAAGTGCCGAGATACCAAGCGGCTTGTGGCGAGGGCTGCATACGACCAAACTGCAGGTGCCGCCGGGCCCCTCCTCACCGAGCCTGAACTGCCTGGATCTTGGTCCTCCTAGCCCCTTGGATCCACATCCATCCTTGCTTTGCATCTGCAGCCGGTCTTTGTAGCTATCCGTGGGGGCAATACTAAGAGCCTGGTAGTGGAGTAGGTAACTTTAAACCTTTTTTTGGGAGTATAGTCCCTATATAATCCCTATATAGCCAAAACGGTTAACCTTTAATTCCCCATGGTACCCGACAAGTAGGCCAAGAGAGTGGGTGATGCTGTCAGGTCATTTCCACTCGGTGAACAGCAGCTATCTCAACCCGACCTTTGTGGGTTCCCTGTCTGCTTGGCTGATGGTTCCAGCTTTGCTAGGTTCACTCCTCTGTGACATCCGTCTGCAGAGGGTCCATGTATACATAGTTCCAAGTATATATTGCGTTCCAGCTTCGAATTTGCAGCCCCAAAACACCCCTTTTGAACCCGGGCTTGCTGGTTGCCAGGACTGACCCTCCGACCTGTTGCCAAGGATCCAGTAACTAAGAAACCAGTATCGAAAAAAGTCGGCTCGTGTGATCGCCACCCCTAAACCCTAAAGTCAGGGCCCTCTTCCTGCGTCGTGGAGTCAGTTAGGGTCAGCGTATCACCCTCAGCCCCAAGGCATAGGAAGCCCAAGGATTTCAGATCATGGGGGAGTTCCCGCGAAGAGTGCATAGCTACTTTGGGGGTTCCTTATTACACAATATGAGTATAGTTTAATGGGAGTTCCTGTACAAAAGGCCCCTATACTATTCTGATGCCTGAATTCTGCACCCTGATGCGGGAATGGAAGTCATAGGTCCAGGCGGGAAGGACCACATCGTAGTTGATGGGCCCGGGCATTCAGGACACTCGGACCGCGCGCCGAGTTCGCATGATTTTTGCACAACTAACCTACTTTCCTGCCTACCACCTGGCGCCTGCCAGCCTACCCCCTACATCTATCTATCGTCTTCGTCTATCTATCTTCTATCATGTCATTGTCGTGTGCTTTTCGTATCTATCTATCTATCTATCGAGCTGTCTGGCTGGCTGGCTAGCCAGCTGATTGTTTGTTATTTGATGGTCCATTGTTGTATATCAGTGTCTTCTGTTGTAGATGATGCTTGCTGGAGGTCCCTCTTCGCTTCTAGACTGGCACCAGCCCGAAGACGTAGACCCGTAAGTGCCGCGAAACTTTCAAGTATCTTGGCTCAAGCGATTGGCCAAGGAGGCCTGGCAGGGTACTTGTAGCTCGGTAGCTCAGCCATGCACACGGAGGAGGAGGCCCTTCTGGGACGACATGATGTGGTTTTCGTCGACAAGAGCAAGGGAAACTGTTGTGGTTGCTGTTGCAAACTCTTCTGTTGCTGCTTCTGCTCGCTTCTCGGCCTCATTCTTTGGGTCCTGTTCTTTTTGATGACGACGGAGTGTGGCATTCGCGTCACGCCGGTTGAGCACATTCTCCCCGAAAATGCCCTTGCAGCCGGTCTCACGCCACCCTTCCAGAGTGGGACTTTGGGGAACATGTTCCTGGATCCTGCGCTAGATCTGAACTTTACAGGAATATGGTGGATGGATGGCAACCCGTTGTTGTCGGAGCAGCTTGTTTCCTTTGCAGGGGCACAGGGCATGGCGCCGTATCCCACGACGGTGTCCAACCCTTCCAACATGGCAGGCCGCTGGAGTTGGGCTGATAGCCTCCCTGGCCGCTTCATCATGATGCACTATGCCTTCACGTCCTTTGCAGAAGAAGCCCAACCATTCTTCTTCGAGAACAAAACCTATGCCAACATCGGTGTTATAGCAGAGGAGGCCTGGGGCGAAGGCTCCACCTTCCCAATGTCGAGACTCTGCCGTTCTTGAACAAGAGTTGTTTACAACTTCAGTTTTAGTCTTGCTGTATTCTTAAGAATGCACCCCAAAGTAGATTGGTCTGTGGACCTTCAAGAGCGAGCCAAGGAAAATCAACGAGGATGAGTGGGACAGGGTGGGTAGCTACGTCCTTCGCCGCATTGTCTACGGGGATGGATCTCCGCATCCTGCGACTGGGCCGTCTTTTTTCGAAAGGACTTTAGGCTTATCGTTGAAGTCAACAAAAGAAGGAGCCCTTGTTGTTTTTTTTAAAACATGCTTCGTCTGATATGCCAGAATAAGGAACCCCTATAGTTTGGAACGTTCCGTTGTCAGGAGGGGCTTTAGGGGAGCTCGTAGCATGTGTGCAGGGTTGTAGTATAGTTAAAGCTGCAGAAACCCAGGGAGCCATATGACATGCTGTCGATGTAGATCAGTTGTATGGTAGCCTCAAACCCTAAACCCGAAACCCCTGAACTCTAAGGCGTGGCAATACCCAAAAAACCCTAAACCCCTAAACTCCAAAACAGAGTCCAGGTCTTCTGGCCGAAGTTCCTCGATTGGTACAAGAACACGTTTCCGGGCTACAGCATTGCTGTGTGGAGCAGCAACAATGATTGCATCCGGCGATGCTTAGTAGCAGAGTAAGTAGCCCTCTTTTGGCCTTTTCTTTCGGATATGACTTTTTCCGATACTAGGTTGCTAGGTGGCCATTGAGTTCAAGCAAGCTGGCATCTACTAGCCCTTGCAAACCCTCAACCCTGAAGCCCAAACGCGAAAGCGCAAGCCCAGGATGCCAGTACTTCGCACCTTGCTTCATCTGCCAACCTGTCTGCGGAGTGGCCTAAACTAGGTAGGGCTTTGGGACATTTTATATTTTCCCTTATTGGGTTTAAGAGGATCTTACCTACAAATGTTTTTCAAAGGCTTTAAAAGCCCTACCTAGTAAAGGAGTGAACAGGGAGAAATGTGCCCTGAGAACAGAGCAGACCCTGAAAAGCGGACCCTAGCTCTTGTAGCTCGTATATGGGAGTTTCCGAAAATTAGGGGTACCTTATGTTGGGGTCCTTATAATAGGGATCCTACTATTTTAGGGTACTATATTAGGGTCCCTATTTTCGGAAACTCCCGTATATCTCTTGATTCCTAGCAGTATTGTCATTGTCACATTGTGCTTCTCCCGCGCTGGCACTTGTGACCCCGCAGGTGTTTGTCGAGTCTGTGAGTTTTGGGTGGTGTGTTTCAGAAGTATGTGCACCGCGGCAAAAGCGGGCTAACATCGGAACGGCAGGGAGATGTGCCCTGACATCCCTGTGTTTCACGCCGACTGCGGAAGGAACCTCAGCTCGGCCCGCGTGCGTCAGCATCAACTCTGCGTGGACCCTCCCGTTGTCTTCTTTGGGCAGCTTCCTGGTTCCTAATAACAACTAAACGCCTTAGCCCTCAACCCCGAAGACAGCAAAAAGAGGCCCTTAAGAGAAAGGCCCGGAATCCCAAACCCCGGACCCTGACCCCCTACTAAACCTTGGCATGGTTCCTGAGGGGAATAATTGAAAGAAAGGCACTGTCTCGACTCTCGACCCTGAACCCTACACCCTCTGCCGGTACCCTGAATCCCTGAACACGGTACCGCCAAAGCCTCTACCCTCATCCCTGTACCCAACTGGCCCTTAACACTATACCCGTCACCCAACATACAAAACAGTAGTGAAAGCTAACCCCTAAACTCCAAACCCCAAGCAAGCGGGGGAAGCGAAGAGGCTGCGTGGCGCGGATCTTCCACGGCTGCGCCGGGCGCAGCGCCTCGGCGACGCTGACGGCCTTTCGAAGCGCCTGCCAGGCGCGGAAATTTGGGGTTCAGGCCCTTTTCTTTAATTGAAAGGGTTGAGGGTTCAGTTTTGTAAACAAGAATTTCAGTTTAGGGTTCGGTTTGTTTTGAAGGGTTGAGGGTTCTTGGAGGTCAGGGCATTTCTTGCTAGCAGGACGTGCAGAGTTGCAAGAACCTTCGGGATGCTGATGCTCAAGGGTTGACCTGAACCCTACACAACGCGCCTCCTACGGAAGGATATAAGGACATCATAATGAGGAGCCCTAACGTTTAGGGCTCCTCATTCTGATGTCCTTATATGTTTAGGGCATATACATGTAGATGCACCAGGGTCACGTAGGGGTGTACTGGATGGATAAATGTGAAAGACAGCTGCCAGCGCTGGATCTTCGCTCGCTCTTTGGAAGATAGGGGGGATTTCCGGGGCCCCTTGCAGTATCCTTATAGCAACCCTTGTAAAACTTCTCTTGAAGGAACCCGTTTCTACTGAGGAAGGCTCTTGCATGTGCCTCTGAGAGTTGTCCGGCAGGCCACCTGTGCCGTCCTGATGCTCTTCGGGCACCCAATCAGCACTGTACGCATAGAGAAGCGTGCAATATAGTACACTGTACCTCGTTCTGACTTTTGGAACAAAACCCTGTGTGGTGTGCAGCACGCTATCAACAACTTAATGACCAGACGACTGGTAGTCAACGTAACTACCGGAGAGGACGTGCCTATCCCTCGCAGCGACTCCACTGAGCAGAGTGAAGCGAGTCTGTATGTCTTTGAGTGTTGCAAGCTTACTGAGGTACGTCCGAATGCTGTGCATGCGGGTGGGGTGCCAGCGCCGGCAAGACACGGATCAGAGTTGCCGCTGCCTGAGTTCTTCCAGAGAATATATAATGTGTAACATGCAAAATAAAATACGCATATTGCATCATATGAATCATATGTCATCCACCAGATCTATCATGTATCATATGACCCATTCAACATCCCTAAGCCCTAAGCCCTAAACCCTAAACCCTAATTCCTAAACCCTAAACCCTAGCCCTAAACCCTAAACCCTAAACCCTAAACCCTAAACCCAGCCTCCCATCTACCCGATCGGCTCAGGGCTCCGAGCGGCCATCCAGCAAGCGCTGACGCTCTGCAGCTCCCGCGTGGGCGTTGGGCTCCCGGGCTCCCCCAAGGATGGAGGCGGAGTCGAAAACGCCAATATTTAACTTTAATTAAGGGGTTCCTTTAAAGGGGTCTATAAGGGATCTATAATAGATCCCTTATAGACCCCTTTAAAGGAAGCCCTTCATTAAATTGATATGGGGGTTTCCGATAACTTGGGGACCCTGATAGAGTACCCTGAGTAGTAGGACCCTTATTATAAGGATCCCAAAACTATGTGGCCTTATTGTCGGAGACTCCAATATTTTAACTCAGATTTTGCAATAGACCTAAAGTTAGAGTAGGATTGCAAATATGATTTCAGGTATATTCCTTAAATTAGGGGAGTCTCTGGGGAGTCGGGTAAGGCAGGGCAAGGCAGGGTCTTTCAGGAAGAGCCCCAACCTTGGAGCCCCCGAAACTGAAGGCCTAAACTGCCTGTTTTGCGGCTTTCTGCAGAGTTTAGAGGGTCTTTCTTGCATTCTCCTTGCTTGACGGTCCAGCTGGCTGTGCACAAGAGTAAGCCCTTAGCAATGATCTCCTGGTTAAGGTCCCGTTGTGAGGTTCCTTTGCAATGATCCTGTAACTCCAGTCATGGAACTATGATTCCTCAACTATGCTCCCTTCATGCGGGTCCTGGCCCCAAAACCCTCAATTTTATCCAGACCCCCAGGCCCGAAACTTTAAACCACAATCCCAAAGCCCTAGAAAGATCCACCTGACCCCAACCCTGAACCCTCGAGCTCAAAATGCGAAAATCCCTAAGATCCACCAGTCTAGTCCCCCGCGCCGATCGACACCCAGCTCCGGACCCTGCACCCCCGTTGCTACACCACAGATGATCTTGTGATACACGGGTAGTGAGATTCAGGGTCTCAGGGTCTAGGGTAGATTGGGTTCAGGTTTGGTGTTTAAGTTTAGAATTTAGGGACCCTATAACACGTATCCCCTACAGACCCCTTTTAGGGATCCCCTTAAAGGGGTTTAGGACGGTTTCGGGGTGGGGATTCAGATTCAGGCCCAACCCTAAACCCTAAACCGAAGCCCATCCGAGGCTTCTCATGGCCTCTCTCCTGCAAGTGGGTGGCCGGGCTGAAACAGAAGGGCTTTCTCAGAACCTGAAGTGGGGCCCCTTCTGGGGCTTTCATGTAGATTGAGGGGTCCTTGCACTGAGGATCCCGTTTTGGGCGCTGCCCATTTGGGGTCACGTACTGTGCGTCTGCGCCTGCGAAGGGAACGTTCTCCGATGAATAAAGGAAACCCTTTCTCTGCCGACCACAAAGAACCGCAAACGTCCGGTAGCGGTTGAGGCTTCACCGTCCTTGTTTCGGAGGTGGCTTCCAGCTGGACCTCAAGAGTACATGAATGTTCTGACGTAGTAGGCTTAGGGATCAGAGGTTGAGCGTGCGATTGAACTTCTGGTTTTCTGGTTGGAGCGCATCAGGAATCCTAAGGGGTGGCGACAGGCAGTGTTTATCTGGGCGACAGGCAGTGTTGATCTGGGTGTCGTGACCAGGAGTCTAGGAAGTTTTTGAGCGTTGATCATCGTGCAGCATGTCGGACTTAATAACTGGCTCAGATATCACGGCTTGCATTGCGCTGATGTAGACATAGACGAACAACCTGCTTGCAGTGTGCAGAGGCCAAGACTTGCAAAGAGATGTCAGGGACTTAAGCTGTAATTCCAAAACCCTTCCCAGCGTTGACGTGTCCACAGTACATGCTTCCAGACTGCCCAGTACCCCATCGTCAAGGAATCAATCATCGAACTTGCGGCAGGGAGCCCCCCTCCCCCTTTCCCTGCTTCGAGTGTGCTTTTTTTTTTTTTTTGGGGGGGGGCTGGGCCAGCGGCCAGCAAGCTCTTACGCAGGATCCTGGAGGGGCATGGCTTGCGCCTGGCCGAGAACTTCAAGTGTCCCGCCTGAGAAGCAGCTTGCGTTTTGCTCCCAGGCAGAGGTGGAAGATGCGAGTTCATCAAACATGGCATGCTGCGAGTTCGTCTCGTGAATCATGAAAACATGTGGGAGCCATGGTCACATGTCAGAGGATCTTGCCGGTGCAGTTGGTGGATCTGCTGGTCATGCTCGCGATTTGGCATCCTGGATGTGTTTGGACCCGGGTGCCAGCTGCTAGAGGAAGAGATAACCCTAGTAGTAGAGCAGGCAACCTTGAACCCTTTTTGGGCGGTATAGTCCCTATATAATCCCTACATAACCAGAAAGGTTAACCTTTAGTATTTAGTTCTCCATGATACCCGACAAGTAGGTAATAGCTAGCAGCTAGCAGAAGTCATGACTGGATTCCTAAGGATGCAGCTTGTGGTTTTCCTGGTCGCCGTGTGCCGCGTCAGCAAGCGATCAGGGTCTAGCGGAACCGCCTCAGTGGATTTCAGGAGTTTTCTATGATATGTGTTGTGGTTGCCTCATAGAACAAGAAAGTACATACATGCAGAAAGACATACTGTGTCTGTTTTCTCCAGGGGCCTTGCTGTGATGTTTCGCATTGGACCTCCTGGCGACAGACAAGCCCAAAGCCCCAAAGGGGTTGAGCTGTAATATAGAAGCCTAAATAATTACCGATATTATTCCTTAGGGTTACTTATTATCACTATACTATACAGGAACCCATAACCTTATTCTAATTGCTAACGCGCCTAGATTACAAGCTGCACAGCGTTGCACGACGACTTCTTGTCTTCCGTCCCTTTGCTGCCTTTCGGATACGGCCTTGAGGCAACCCGTGACGACTTCGGACCCACAACCTAGAGAGGCCGATAGCAAGATCCCTGGCATCAAGGAGCCGAACTTTCTGGTAGGTATACTCGGGCAAAGTACTTCATTCTCAGTATCGGCGCTCTGGGTACAAACTCCGTAAGCCCTGGACGGTAAACCCTAAAACCTAAGCCTCCTGAGCGGTGGGTTCGGTCGGCTCTCGTGCATCGGAGGTGCTATAATGTGGTGCTCCATGTGCAGCTGCGCAAGCAAATCATGGCATTGCCCAGGCCTAATTGTGCTGTGAGGTTGCAGGGTTGCCGCGTTTCTAGGAGGTTGCATGTGCTTGAACATGTGCTATCAAGCGAACCTGTGTTGTGAATGGCGAAGTTTTGTGCTGGCTGCAATGAGTTCTACATTCAACACTTAACCGTAAGTTCTAAAAACAAGACATGCAAAGCCCGAGCACCAGAATAAGTTAAGCGCAAAACCTTGGACTCTTAGACCCCATCTGACACATGGGGCGATTGCATACGCTTCCAGTTTCAAGCTTGAGGGCGACATGTAAGGAGACCCTTGGCAGTAATATGTGGTATTGCTTAATGTGACGGAGCGTTTGTGTAGTTCTACACCTGTGCTGACTATTTTCTGCTGTAGTTCGCTGATGTGCTCAGTTGTAAGTCGGCGCTCGTCTTCGGCGCGCCAGTTTCAGTTTTCTAGTTCCGCACTCGGAATGCCTGACATCGGAATGCCGCTCATCAGTGGCAGTTCTGAGGAAACCGACGCATGGCCGGGCCGAGCTGTGATGAAGGGCTCGACCCTCCCTAAACTGTATGCCCTGCCGAAGCTGTAGGCAAAAATGAACCCAAAGGCCCACACCCTAAGCTCTGAACCTAAAACGAGTGCTTTTGCTTCGGGAAAGCAAGGCCTCAAAAGTGTACGCCGTGCGCGGCTTTCCCGAAGCCCCCTTAAAGCCCCCTAAACCCTCCTGGGAAGGTCGGTCCTCTATGGGCAGAACACGGAAGTGCCAGCAGCTCGGAGAAGAGTCGGAATGCCTCGGCTGAAGGGTTTTGGGCCGGAGTCGGGTTTTGTAGGATCTATGATCCTGTTAACGGTTGCTATGGGGCTTCCTCAGAACGTTCTTCTCAGGGTTCCCTTAAGGGCTCCTCCGAGGGTTGATGATTTTGAGGCTTCAACAAGGGTGCTTGAAAAATCCCTGAATGGTTCCTGTCCTCCTGGTTACTACTGTGTTTAGGCGCCAGGATTCATTCGCAAGAAGATATCAGCCCCGCAGCTCGGAATGGGCCAAGATCCCCAAACCCCAACCCTGCACTAAACATGTTACTCCAGACGCAGAACAAGCGCCCTAAGCTCCCCAACGCAGGCTTGTTCGAAGCCCTAATCACCAGTCATCTCAGGATAGCTACCACGGTCCGGACCTCAAGGACCTTCGGTCGCTGGCCTCGTGGCCTTGGGGGTGTCAGTGCAACATGGGGCACAGCGCGTCCTGGTGACAGTGAAGTACTCTGGTTCGTTGAGGGGTGCTCCTTGTTTAGTAGGGGTGACTGAGCTCCAGATGTCTTGAATACTGCCAAATCCAAAGGGCCCCGAATTTCGACCCGCACTTCTTGGTTTTTAACCCTGCGCCTGGCGAGGCGTCCGTGGCAGAGGCATCGAGCCATCACGATGACATGTCAAGACTTGACCGTGTTTCGATTGAAGCGTCGACAGAGGATCCTGAGAAGGCATCGAAGTCCCCGCTACGGTGAGAGTTCCCGGAAATCCTGCACCACGATCCGTCTTGGAATCGGTCTCCAAAGCCAGCATCGGATCGCCCGAGCATGTGTCATCGCCGCCGAAGGACCTGAAGAAGATGGGTAGTACGAGCTTGGTCTATGCGATGTATTTCCCTGGTATTGCGGGGAGCTTAGTCAAGACCCCTTTCCAGAGGATCTCTTTGGCTTTCAGATGGCCTGCGAAGGTCTTCTGGCACTTTTTCTACGCCTCCTGGATCTTGGTGCTGCACCTCGGCATCCTTTAATTTCAACTTTGCATTGCAGGGCCCTGGCATCGGAGTGATGACTTCGGAAGACCCGCGCATTCGGGGAACAGTACAGGGGCTTGAATAATTCCTGACGCCATTAGGCCTCAGGGTTCCTTGATATATATGATGTATGTATGTATGTATGTATGTATGTATACACGTATATACACACATCGTGCAGGGGTTCTGGCTTTTCAACTTTGTCAAACGAAGCTTACGAAGCCTTGCGTGGGCGAGAGGCGTTGCGACCCGTCCTTAGAACAATGACCCTGGCATTTTATTCTGTATTTATTGAGGGTCCATAGTAAGGTCCCCTCATAGACACACCTTTTCCCTTCTAGACAGCGTACGACAACCCTCTTTGAAACCCCGATACGCTTATCATTGTTGCGACACCTGCCAGGATGTTCTGCTTCACTCTGGGCTGCCTGGTCGTCGTCAGCCAGCCAGCCCTCGGACTTTAAGAAACGGGGGTAACCACGGCGAAAGGTTGGCGATTTGGGATGGTTTGGGGGTTTAGTCAACCGAGAAGGATCTCAGGGTGGGTACAAGTGCGGTTCTGGAGGGATCTCACAAGGGCTATGCACAGGGCCTGTGCCTTTCCTTTAGACGGTGAATCCTCACATCCGTGATTGCCTCGGCCTTCTGCTGTGGTGACGGTCCGCGAGCGAAATGGCATCTCTCAGAACCGAGTAAGTCTTGTTTGCTTTTGTAGTCTTGGTAAATTACTGTCCTTACTGTTTTGACGAGTACAGTATGACGTGACGACTATGTTTGCCACTTGCCCTCACCAATTTACCATTCTTAGCATGACCATGGTGATGAAGATCTATACCTTATTATACTGTTTTCCATTGTATTACATATCATGATACAATTTTGTCCTCATTGGTGTAATCGGTCGAGACCCGTGAGGCCGAGACACGCAGCATCCACGCCAAGCGAATCTGGCCGGTGCTGACTCCTGGTCTAAACTTTCTAAGCATGGTGGGTCTGTTTTATTCCTAGAGTTCATCACAGTAGGCTCTTGGTACAGAGAACGAGAGCCGCAGTCACGTGCCGTTTGCACCGCCCATCCGAAGTGGAGAGGGTGGAACCTCGACGGGAGCGGTGCTGATAGTGATGGTGAGATCGTTGGTCCTTCGTTTGCGAAGCCCTGAGGACCTACGGCAGCTTCCTTTGCTCGGTTCTGCTGGCCCACTTTGTCACGAGCTTTTTGGCGGCAGTGCCGTGCGGATGTTTTTGTTCATGTCCAGCTAGGGTCTGTGGAAGCAGCAGCAGGCAGCTATCGGAAGTCTTGGCAAGGGCTGACACAAGACCACTCGAGGTGTGTCTGGGTTGTCTGCTCTCTTCCGCTGGAAATTTCAACATCTCCGGCTGCATGTTGCTCTTGATTCTTCCCCTAGCCACGTCAGTGTCTCAATCTAACGAGAAAGGCATTCCGAGCAACCTTGAGGCCCTAAAAAATTAAGTGAGGATGTCCTGCACATCCGGAAACCCTGAGCTTTTCCAAGCTTTTCTAAGGGTTTAGAATCCGGCAGCTTCGTGGCAAAAAAAAACCCGGAGCTCCCGAATCCTCACTCCTGATCAGGACTCTTCACGCAGCGATGTTCCCTGCTTGCATCAGGCCCTGGGCGTTTCGGAAAGCCATGGATCCCCAAAATGGAGCCCCGACACCCTAAGCCCCAAAGGCCAGGGGTAGCTCCTCGCCATGGCTGTGCCGAGTTGTGGTGCTGAAAGGAAAAGCCTAAACGGCCTAAACCCCTGAGCCCCTGAACTCCCAGGATCCTCCACAGAAGGGTTCCCACCCGGGAGCCCCTCATCAGCAAACCCCAATACGACCCGTTTTTTCACCATCGAAACCCCCTCCTGCCCTGTTGTTTTGCAATGAAACCTTCGTCCTTTTGCCATGCTGTCCGACTCTTTCCCGGATGGCGAGGCCTCAGAAGCTTTGCCCAGTGTTTCAGCTCGAGTATGTGGGGAAATGAGGGCTTGAATGACATAATGTCCCCAAAGACTCCTGTAGTAAACAGAGGTTATCACACCCCAAAACGAATCACTCTATAAGGTTAACCCTAGATTGTTGCATGTCGCAAGATCCTATTTTAGATGCCTCACCTCCTGCCGTGGTGAGAGGCGGTCTAGGGACGCCCTGCAAAACTTCCGAAAGTCCCAGCTCCAGCGTGTTTTCAGCGGAGAAGATCACTCGCAGCCTGCTGAGGTTTGCTGCGGCGCCATGGCCGAGGCATTCAGATTCGCTGCCCCCTGGTTGCAACTCCAAGCAGTCTGGGCGGCTTGGCCTTCAACCCTCCGCTCCCAGACCGTGCCCCAAAACCCCCTTAAACTAATATCCTAAATCAGAAAACCTGGACGCCGAAGTCGGGCAAAGATGGGACAAACGCAACCGGAGCCCATGCATAACCAAACCGTGGGTCTGGAAAGCCCAGGAAGCCACCCAGTTTGAGCATCGATGCAGACCTCGTGTCTTCACCTCTGTGATGCTTCTGCCATCTACAGGTGCATTTCATCTCACATCTGCTCTCTAAATAGAGCCGCTCAACCTTCCGAAATAGAAGAAGCGACCAAAGTAGAAGAAACAGAAATGCCCTCACTGAGGCGGTGATTGAGCACCAGCTGCTAGTTTCCAGTACCCGCAGTCTTTGCCCCCCAGCAGTTGCCAAAGCCCGTCGAAACGAGGTTTGTGCCTGTTCTCGTGGTACGAGGCCGGGTGTTCTCCAAGTTTCCACCCCCTTAGTAAAATTTGCACAGTGCAGTGGTCCACAGCAGACAGCATCGGCATCAGCATCAAGATCACCACTCCAGCACCATCAATCGTGATTATCATCTTGGTCAACACCGCCGTCGTCAACATCGTTTGCATTTTGGTTTCCGCTTGCCCCTCTGCAGCTACAGCCCCATCGTCGTCACGATCCATCATGAGCCTCGCTGCCCCGGGTGTGTTGATCATGTCATCGCCAACAGGTCACCATTTTTCTGCATCATCTTGATCAACATTCCGTTCTTCGCTACTGAACTCCTAAACTCCTGCCGCACCATCATCGTCGAAATCATTACTAACCTTATCGCCAACACTTGTGTCGTCAGCACAGTCGTCACAATCTTAATCTTGCTCTTGTGGTTATCGCCAGCGTACCGTCATGTTCATGGTCACCGATGTTCTTCGCCCCTTCGTCAACTGGTCATATAAATCAGGAGACAAAGCCAATGACCGGTGTCCTCAGTCCACTGGCACTGTCGCCAGTTTAGTCTCAGGGCTGTTCGGTGGCGCCCTCACCAGCAACGGCTCACCTTCGTCACCTTCACAACCATCATCATGCAGAATCAACATCAACAGCATCACTTGATGTTTGTACACTGTACAAGGCATCCTTCGTGTCGTCAGGTGTGCCTAGACCCGGTGTAGAACGTCAGGTCATGCTGTTTCTCCTCTCTTTCGCCGTTGGCCCGACCGCCGCCCTCTGGGACTACATCAAAGGCAGGGAGCCGTGCACCTCGGTGACGGACACGGAACTTCTCCTTCGCCCGCGGGCCCGAAACAAGCCCGAAGCCCTGAACTCCATGAGCTTTACAAGCAACGCCAAACCCGAAAAGTAGGGTTCGGATTCGTATTTGTACTAGCATGAGTATTGGTATCAGTACTGGTATTGGTATGATTAGAATTAGTAACCCTAAACCCTAAACCCTAAACCCTAAACCCTAAACCCTAAACCCTAAACCCTACAGTATTGGTATTGGCCCGCGAGACCGACCCGAGAGGCTTCCTTTGCACGGTCCTGGCTTCCTTGATCATCGAGAAGCCGAACTTCACCCAGCCACTAAGCCGGCTCAACTGGGGCCTTCCCGGCGGCTGGTTCTCTCTTTTCAGGGCTCTGCAAGATAGAATCTCATCGTTTTGATGCACCTTCTTACAAGGATCTTGGTACTTCAGGATCGGTTTTTGGTGCGCTTTGTTTTCCAAAAAACACCCTTTATACTGGGTTTTGCAGTACCCTACTTTCATGCTTTCTTTCTTAACGGAACCATTATGGCTACTTAAAAGCCCATTTGTTTAAAGGCTTGTCGGGAGGGCTTTGGGCTCCTTCAGAGGTTTGGCCACAACGTGCGAGCAGCGAAGCACAGAGGATGATGTCGATCGCGATGGTGATGGCTATCTTGATGTTGATGGTGAGTTGTATCATATACATTTACGTGTCGGTGTGAATGTATATCTATATATATATATGTATATATATATATGTATATATATATGTACAGTATGAAAGACCATTACATGTGTATATATATATATATATATATATATGTTGTGTATAGAGGTATATGCACAGGTCGTCTGGCTGTCTGTCTGTCGATCGGTCGGTCTGTCGGTCCGTCGGTCTGTTCCGTCTGTATGTCTGTCCGTCTGTCCGTTCGTCCGTCCGGTCTGTCTGTCTGCCTATCTGTTTATCTATATGTACGTACGAATGCGTGCATGCATGCATGCACGTATCATACGTGCATTCATCGGTCTGTACATACATACATACATACATACATACAGACACGGGCACATGTGCATATCTTAGCAATGGTCCCGAGGTTTGGGGAGCTGGCTGACTATGTTTACTGCACGTACTGTGCAGCACTCCTGCTGGAGCGAATGGACCAAGACCGACTGCAGGCCGTCGCCGAGTTCGAGATGTCGGGGTTTTGTGACGTATTTAGAAGCCATAAGTTCAGCTATAATGGGCTATATAATAGGTATATAGTAGCTATATTAAGGGTATATACCTAGGGGCTCCGGGTTTTTGTGCAGGGGGTCGTCGGCTTCGGCTTCCGGATCAGGTTTGCGGCCGAAGTGGAGACTGAGGATTTTTGAATTACTGTGAAAAGGGATGGTGGACGTGCGGAGGAATCTCAATCGACGATGACTTCGTTGAAGAATCGGTAACCTCAACCTACAACCTTTCCTCGAAGTGGCCTTGAAAGACTGGTGCTTCAGTTATCAGAAAACCTTGATTGAAAGATCCCATACAAAAAACAGGCTTTCCTGCAGTGAAGCACATTCGACTCTTCGCTGCTAGCCCTAAACCGAACATGCTCACAGTACTTCTCGCTCCCGGGAGCCGAAACCCATGGGAAGCAGCGTTGAGACCCTAAACCCTAAGCCCCAAACCCTAAACCTTCTTTAAAAAACATCCCTAAACCCTCTTAAAAAACAAACCCTAAACCCCCTTAAAAAAAAGAAAAACCTAAACCACCCTTTTAAAAAAACCCAAACCCGCCTAGATAGTCCGAGTGTGAGCGCCGAAACCCGAGACCCCGACCGCCTGACCCTTGCAAGCTCTAGCGAGGACGAGTCGAGCGAGCGCCTTGTTGCTGGATATGGGAGTTTCTTACAATTAGGGGTACCTTATTTTGGGGTCCTTATTAATAAGGCTCCTATTATATAGAGTACTATACTTAGGGGTATCGTATTTTGGGGTCCTTATTCATAAGGCTCCTTTTTTTTAAGAGTGCTATACTAGGGTCCCCTATTTTTGGAAACTCCCGCATGTGTTGTGGCACAGGGCCTAGGAGTATCTTAACACCAGCGCGATCCTGCGGGGATTGAAGGCTCAGGGTCCAGGCCCTGGGCGACACCCATAGAGTTTTCAACTTGTAGGATCGTGGAAGGACTCCTGGGATGCTGCACATTGACTCACTGTTCTAACTGAGACAGTTGTTGTAGACGGCCACGAAACGTGGTAATATTGTTATATAATTAGAAGTCATCGAAGAGCTTCTGAATCCGAGCTTCAGGGCCTGGGTTCAAAGCTGCTGCAACCCTCGGGTAGTCTTTGGCGGTGGGATATAGACTTGCGGGAGTTGTTGTCTACCACTTGCTGTAGTCGTTCAGTGCACCAAGTGAAAATCGTGTGTGGGCGGTTCCTTCTAGCATGTTCAGAGTGCTTTTGCGCAGTGCGTGCGTGTCTCGACCCTGCAAGGATTGGCACTAGTTAAAAGCAACAGTGTGCCAGCAAGCTTTCTGCTTCTTTTGCAAGCGCAAATCGCAGCAACCGTCAGCTTGTAGCAAAGACAGTGGATGGCCTCAACTATTCTGTGAGCACATCACAGACAGTCTGTCCTCGAACCACCACGGGGCTGAAAGCGATTGGCGCGTGCCGGCCCGAAGATGCCAATATACACCTACCTAGACCTACTAAACCCTACTTTTTTGTAGGTTCTTGTTACAAACCCTAATATGGGATTTATAGAGACCCTACAAAAAAGTAGGTTCTGGTAGGTTAAGGTAGACATCTTATTCGTGTGCATAATTCTGCCATGCCTCGCTACGCTCGAGTGGTTCGCTGTGCTGTGCTGCAATAGATTCGCTGGACGAGTCGCCCCTCCCTTTCCCTGCCTTCTACGCTTCCTTCCCCAGGTTTCGTGGCCCTCCAGCTGTATTAAATAAAAACTCAGCCCACAAAGCCGGTTTCTACTCTACTTCTTCAGGCCCGCCATTTGTAAAAAGGGCCCGCCATTTTTAAAAAGACTTTGGCCGGGAGACAATGGTGACCACTGCAGCAGCCGGAGTTCCTTGTTGTCGCCGTACCACAATATACCCCCAAACCGTATTCTGTTTGTAAAGACAACAGAACCCTGACAGTATCCCTTCGGAAGGAACCCTACTCTAATCATTGATCATGAATGAAAGCCCGTATGCTATCTCAGGTACGGGCAAGATCCGGAGCACGAGACTCTCGAAAGCTGCGAGGACTGGCGCCAAAGGCGGGACGCATCACAACTAAAGAGGTGTTTACAAGAATGTCAATAAGGGTAAGTGCTCATCTTCCCACTATGCTGAGCAAGCGCGATCATCAGTCTGCTCTTTCTCGTGTTTGCTACGGTTTTCTTGCTATGATTTTTAGACTGACGGAGCGCACTTTTCCAACAGCGTTGATTCTGCGGTTGTCTCCACATCGACGGTAGTGGTGGGTCTGGTAGCCGTGGTAGTGGTAGTTAGTGACTAGTGGTGGTCGTGCCAGCATGCGTGGCAGCAGTAACGGGGGTCTGCGTGTAATTGCGGACACCCTAGCGGTAGCAGGCACCGCTATTGGCAGCGAGGGTGGAGGTAGGTAGATAGGTAAGTCGGTAGTTACAGTGCTGATGATGTTCAGGATGCTTGTCGGCACGACTGGGAGCACTTGCCCAATTTTCGCAATCCCGGTTCCCATCGGCGTCACTCTCGCGATTACTCTTGAATCCGTATCATCAGTATCAGCAGCAGGGTGCCGCTGGTCATGGTGATGGTAGCAATAGCAGTGATGAAGTCATTTTTGCCGCGACGGGGATGCTAATCATGATGCTGATGGTAGTGGCTTAGGCCATGTTCAGGTGTCTCATCATCGTCACACCATCATCATTAGCATCATCAACCCCTTCCGCAGCAGCAGCATGGCAGAAGTGTGGCAAACAGAAACTGCATTCGCACCGTTTGCACCACTACTATCATCCTCAGCAGCATTAGCAACTTCACAGCGATCGCATATTGAGTATTACCATCACCCACCATCACCATGACTACCAGCACCATCGCCATCAAGGTCATCAGATTTATCAGCAGCACAACCATGGTCGTGATCATAGCAGTCCGCACCCTCACAATCACCGCCACCAACACCACCACCACCATCGTCATCCTTAAAACTCTTCCCCCTCCTCGATCATCATGCCAGCATCGCCAGTATCAGTATCATCATCATCATCATCATTATCCTCATAATCCTCAGCATCATGCTAACCATGCTCATCATCCCGCGTCATGCCGATCGCCGTCATCATCCTCGTCCTAGTAGCCCACATCCCCCTCGCCCACATCATCCTCATCACCCTCATCATTCTGTCTCTTCCTCGCTGTTGCCATCGTTGCCGTCGTGACATGTCTTTGGCATCGGAGCGTCTCGAAAGGTGCGACAGCTGGAATTCCAAAGTCGAACCAGAACTCCTCGACAGCAGCCCCTGGACTGACAGTTGAGACGGCCCCTGCATAGAAGCCTGGGTCTTTCAGGTTTTCCTCTTATGTACTCCTCGTGGCTTGCCGAGGGGTGGCCTCGCATGTGCTAGCCCTGAGACCAGTGGCAGTTTGCACACAGCATTCGGGGCCTCGTAAGTTCAAGTTGATTCATGTTTTTCCCGTCTGATGGCGGCGGACGATTCAGTCAGTGTCCGCTGAAAGCCAGTTGTCGGGTTGAGCCACGTCCTTACACGCATGTTCAAGTTCTTTTCATTGTTTGTTGTAGACACTGTGTTCTTCGTTGCTGATCTGTAGAATGCTTCTCTTCTTACTCCTACTCCTGCGACTACGAGGACGAGGACGAAAATCCACCACGACGACGACTACTACTATGTTTGGTATATATACTTAGCTTTACTTGTCGTCGTCGTATGAATGCCGCTGTTACTGTTAGCATGGCATTCTGAACATCATGGCATTTGATTCTAATCGCATGCTGTCGGCATCATTACTGTGAGACGTTGACTTGTGCGATATAGTTTTTACTGCAGTTCTAATTATTAAGGCCGCTTTTCGGACATTGGATTTGGCTGGAGAAGCTAAAGGGAGCAAATCCAAGAAATGACTTGCTTTGCCTGCCCGGACCTTCTTCCCGTGGATCTTCTTGCTGGCTTCAGAATTTGGGCCCTGGTGTGGATCCCACACCCCAACAGCAGGACATCCCAAAAAGCCCAAAGATCCGGGGCCAGTAGACTCAGGCTACCACTCGAAGCTTGGATGTTTGCATCGGACATGCGCCTTTTGGCTGCTCTTTCTTGGCCTCCCGCTCTTGGCCGCTGTCCTGGTGGATAGCAGCAGCTACTCCTTGGGTGGCTTGCCTGCAATGGCGAAAGAGTGTTCGTGAAAAGGATGACGGCCGAAGCTACGGCACAGAGTAAGGCTGAGGGTCAGATGGTGACGCTGACAGTCCTGTGAAGAAGATGGTGATGGCTGTGATGACGATCTCATGCCCATGGCGCTGATCACAGCGATAGTGGTAACGATAATGATGATGATGATGATGATGATGTTGCCATTGCGCAGCATGTCGTAACGGCAGATGATCACGTGATCGTCGATGATAATGTGGTGATGGTGACATTCGAGTCTCTGAGCCCCTCCTACGAAGCCCTAGACTCCGCGACCCTGAGGTTACGAGTGCCCACAGTTTCTGAAGACTATCCTGCCGCTGCGAAGATGCCATGCGCAAGAAAACAAAAGGAGCTCATCGTGCTGTGCTGCCCATGACGAGACAGAATCGCCTAAACACGCGACGCTCGAATGCTGCAGCTCACACTGCCAAAATCAGTATGCAATTGTTACATGTGTCAGAGGGTCAGTGCCTTTGTTGTAACAATGCGATGGTGCAAAAGACGACTTTCACCGCTTCGATAGGGACCTGGTCGTGTCAAAGTGTATTGCCAAAGGAAGAAGGCCGAGGAACACGAGATGGCAGCTTCGCCACAATGCTTGCGACGCAGGGTTCCCCAACTGATGCCATCAATGTAGGGGCCAAAATAATTACCTATACTATTTTGGGGGCTCCTTATTATAATTATAGTATAGTGGGCCCTTCAACCCTATTCCAATTATTAAGGCCTCTACAGTATGCCAAACCACCAAGACAAAGCAAGCCGGCAGCATGTCAACCGGGCAGCTACTTGGAGCTTCATGGTTAGTTCTAAGTAGGGTTATAGGTAGGGTAACTATAGTTATAACCCATGTTAAGGGACTTAGAACCCCACTTATAACTACCCATGAACCTCCAAGTAGAGTCCGAAAGACATCCACATGGCCCGCCCAGCGCGATGTGGCCATATCAGGGCTTGGCTCGTTACATGGTTCCTCTGAGGGGTTTCTGAGATTGATCCCCAGTTGCGCAAAGCACAGGCAATAGCGAGGTCAGCCAGGGAAGCGATGATGAGCGGGGGCTACGTGGTTGACTTGATAGCATGTTGAGGTCGAGGCGAGGCAGTAGAGCGGGGCTACTGAAGTCATCCTCTTTGATGTCGGAGCACCCGGGAATAACATCTGAGGCAGACTGTGACACAACAAGACACGAAGACTAGCTTCTGCCGACGTGGCTGAAACACATGCCAGATGTGGCCGCTCACCGCAGCTGTTAGCCTTAGCTGCATCGTGCAGCCGTCGAGGTGCGGCAGATTGCCGGTAATACAGGGGCCGAGTAATTACCAGTACTACTTTGGGGGGTTCCTGACAATACAGTATAACGGGGCCCAACACCGTATTCTCATTATTAAGGCCCCTATATTACATCTATTCAAGAGACCCAAGCCCCTCAGCTGCACATGCTCCAGCAAATGGAGGTGGCAAGCGGCCGGCTTTGGAGGAGAAGGTCAGAGGGCTCCTGAGTTGAGCGGCGCTAGCTGTTCTGACATCGTTTTGTTCGATCACCATGTGGAATGGGACAGGACATAGCATCGCCAAAAAGTTTCTCAGTAAGGACTTGCGGGGCATTGCACGTGTCAGGCATGGACCTGGCTGACGCGATCCCCTCGTGGTGAACCGTCCAGTGCCCGGAGATGCTGCATTTGCCAAAGCTAAATCGAAAGAGAAGACAGGTGCTTTTTTTTTTCTTTTGTTTTTTCGCAGGTCGCCTCATTGCTTGACTCAGCGTTTGCTGCTCAAGCGCTGCTCTCCGAGTCCTACCCTCCCGTGACAGCCATGAAGCTGCTGACCTGGACGCTCGCTGCTCTGGGAGTCGTCCAGCTGAGGGCTGCAGGACGGGGCGCTGGGAAGGGCCGAGCCTTCTTAACTGCCGCTGTTTGCTAGGCCAGTGCTTGTCGTCTCCCTCTTTTCTGCTCTCGTGCAAAGCCCTCCTGCAGGACATCAGAAACTGGCAGTCGTCCGCGTGTTCTCAACTGACGAGGAGGTCCAGTTGCTCGAGGAAAGTGGCCCAGCTTGGGGACGGACGAGTCCATGCGCTGTCAAGTCGAACATGAGCGACATCGATCTGATTTTGGTTTACAGCAAGGACTTGGCTTCGAACCCCACGGCCCTCCAGGTCGTTACGGATCTGGAGAACGGCTTTCAGAAGTATATGGACATGCAGAACTACAACTCCTCCAACGTGACCACGGGTACGTCATACGACTGGATGAAGTGCTTCTCGGGTATCCACCACATGTCAGCCATGTTGAACCCAGAGCAAGACGTCTATGACAACCGAGGCTACACTACCAACAAGCATTGGGTCTCCGGTCCCAACGCCGTGTTTTCCAAGATCATGACCGAGATGTTCAGTGCAGAGCCTGCCGACATGTACGACACCTTCTTCCTGATGGAGATGGATGCCGTTCCCATCAAGAGCCATTGGCTTGACCAGTTCGAGACCGAGGCCCATGAGATGGCGGACAACAACATGGCCGTCCGCGGGAGCCAGTACCTGGGTGACAAGTGGGATCTCTTCAAATCGATGATGCCAAAGTACTTGGTGGAGCACATCAATGGCAATGCCATGTACAACCTGAAGCATCCTTGGACCAAGGCCGTGTACGACGCGTTCCGCAGCATGGACGACGGCAGCATGATGGAAGAGATGGCTTTCGACGTAGCCTTTGCAATGATTACCATGGATGCCATGTCTGGGAACAGCAGTGAGTTTGCTGCCGCCTGGGCCGCGGCAGGGGGCAACAGCCAAACCTACAACTGGGACTCGATGCTGGTGGGCAACTATGCCAACACGCTTCTGAACAGCAGCTTTGAGTTCCCAACGTACATCCGCCATGGCTCGAGCAAGAACCTGTTCGAGAATCTGGCAGATGAGCACGTGACCCTGGGCGTGGCAATGTTCGATCATCAGGGGCACTTCAAGGACACCGTTCCCACGCACCATCCCTTCAAGAAGATCCTGACTCTCACCTATTTCCCGCAGCCGAACATGACGGAGACGGTTCAGACACCGGTGGGCAATGTGACCATGATGACGCAGGCGGCCACGGCGGAGCCTTTCTATCATCTCTGCGAGACCGCCAAGCTTGTAGACACGAAATGGTTCGCCCTCACGGACAACTACCACATCATCAAGGCTCCGGTGAGTGTTCTGATGGACGCTGACGAAAAGCCAGTGCTGCCCTACGTGCTCAGGAACTCCAAGTACTGCGGCGAACGCCCGAATTGCGAGGCTTCTATGCTGCAGGCAGAGGGTCTCTTCAGCATCACACTGAACTACCATCATGACAAGTACGAGGTTCTGTACAAGACCGAGGATGCTAAGAAGTTCTGCGATGCATGGGACCTCGCAACATCAGGCACGGCAGCTGCGTCGTGGAGCAATTGCAGCTTGTCCTTCGGCCCAACTGGCGATGACTACATCGCCTGGAAGATCAGCGTGGACCAGAACATCACCGAAGAGTTCACCCCAAAGGACAAGACGCGCTATGGCTGGAGAGCCTGGACCAGCCTCTGGAATCCGGCCCCAGTGGATGCCCGCGAGTGCACGCCGATGCTGTACGGCCCCAAGGAGTACCTGGAAACGCTCGGCAACATCTCCAAGTGCGCGGTCGACTATGTGGAGAATGCCGGCGCATGTGAAGCAGATGCCGCGTGTGAGTGGAAGGCCATGTTCGAGTCTGGCGTGTGCCTTCAGGATCCCAAGAGCGTCACCACGACGACAACGCTGGAGGGAACAGTCTACAGCACCATCGAAGTCACGTTGCCACTCACCGTGGACGATGCAGCGGCGATCCTCAACAACGACACCGTGCAGAATGCCATGAAGCAAGGCTTTGCGGATGCGATGGATGTGGACGTGGAGGATGTGATGCTGGAGATCCAAGCAGCACGACGTCTGAGCTCTCCGACACGGAAGCTTCAGACGGAGCTGTTGGCTGTGTTTTCCGTGATCATGGAAAGCCTCGACGAGGCCATCGTGAAACAGGTCGAAATCGAGACCGTGTCCCTGGATGCAACCAACCGCGCCATCGCCAGTGCCGTCGCAGCTGCGGGCTTCTCGGGCTCCGTGGAGGTGACTGGCAAGACCACCATGCGAGTGCCTGCGCCGACAACCACGACGACCACCACGAGCACCGAAGCCAGCAACACCACCACCAGTACCACGGACGGAGGTGACGACGGCGATGCCGGCGACGATGGCGACGACGGTGACGAGGAACCGCCCAGCTCGGCAATCACCAAGACTGCCTCTTCTGTGCTGGGACTCCTCGTACTGTTGGGCTGGGCCTAAGGCCTAAGCATCCGCTAGGACCAGGAGGGGAGCAGGGGCAGGGGCGCCCGAGTTTTTCCGACGGGCTGGAAGTCCCAATAGCGCGAGCAGCCCGCCGCTTTACTGTAGTGTCTTCTGATGGGGTGAATGGCCCCGCACCAATTTTGTCACAGAGCTTGATCCGGGTCCTGACCATCAAGGCCAGTAGCGAGCTCTAACTCTCTAACTCAAGCCGATACAGCAATACCGATGCTGGCAGGCACACCTGGCACGACGGAGGGCGCACTAGATGCGCACTCACACGACGAAGCATGCCATTTTGCAGGAGGCCCGTAAAGGCAAAGCCTACGGCCTACAGCGACCGAGACTTCCCGGCGGGGGCAGGTGAAGGAAACAGTGCCGAGCAGTTCGCCGAAGCGCTGAGGCTGTTTATCGCTGTCTGTCGCTATACACAGACCTCATCATGCCTGCATGGGTTGTTTCTCTAAGAGCTCACGGTTGGTCGGCATGTGTCGGAAGTGCCCAGGCTGAGCCATCGGAGTTGCAGGATCAGCTGCGGCGCACCCCGAGAACAACTGCAGAGGACTTGCCCGAAGCGTGCAGCCGTGTCTCTGTTTGTTCCATCTTTGTGCCCAAACCTTCTGTACACCATGTGGGGTTCTTACATTTGCAGGAAGGAGAGCTGGTAAGCTTGCATGTACGGGCGCGCGCAGGCTAGCGTTCCCCGGCAAAGCATTCTGCCAGTGCTCCCGAGTCCGACTGAACCCCGCTAGTGTAGTACTTGGGGGAAGGAGTTTTGTCCTGCTGTCTCCTTGTGGTCGTCAGTGGTCGTCGTGGCGTGGCGGTCCTCGTGGTCTTATTGGGGATCTATCACTGTTTGGGGAGCCACGCTGGCATAGTGCTTTTTTTGCAGGCCTCGTGAGGAGATGCCACGCCATCTAGCGGTTCAGCAAGTTTCTCGTCGCCCGAGACTTGGCCGTGCACATGCTGTACTAGGCGTCTCATGGATGCATGAGTGTTCGACCTGCCACGCCTTTCACAAGCACCGCAAGCTCGACGACATGATGCAACAATCGAGTCGTATCTTCGAACCTTCTCTTGCTGCAGCGTTTGCTGCTCAAGCGCTGCTCTCCGAGTCCTACCCTCCCGTGACAGCCATGAAGCTGCTGACCTGGACACTCGCTGCTCTGGGAGTCGTCCAGCTGAGGGCTGCAGGACGGGGCGCTGGGAAGGGCCGAGCCTTCTTCATTGCCGCTGTTTGCTAGGCCAGTGCTTGTCGTCTCCCTCTTTCTCGTGCAGAGCCCTTCTGCAGGACATCAGAAACTGGCAGTCGTCCGCGTGTTCTCAACTGACGAGGAGGTCCAGCTGCTCGAGGAAAGTGGCCCAGCTTGGGGACGGACGAGTCCATGCGCTGTCAAGTCGAACATGAGCGACATCGATCTCATTTTGGTTTACAGCAAGGACTTGGCTTCGAACCCTACGGCCCTCCAGGTCGTTACGGATCTGGAGAACGGCTTTCAGAAGTATATGGACATGCAGAATTACAACTCCTCGAACGTGACCACGGGTACGTCATACGACTGGATGAAGTGCTTCTCGGGTATCCACCACATGTCAGCCATGTTGAACCCAGAGCAAGACGTCTATGACAACCGAGGCTACACTACCAACAAGCATTGGGTCTCCGGTCCCAATGCGGTCTTTTCCAAGATCATGACCGAGATGTTCAGTGCCGAGCCTGCCGACATGTACGACACCTTCTTCCTGATGGAGATGGATGCCGTTCCCATCAAGAGCCATTGGCTTGACCAGTTCGAGACCGAGGCCCATGAGATGGCGGACAACAACATGGCCGTCCGTGGGAGCCAGTACCTGGGTGACAAGTGGGATCTCTTCAAATCGATGATGCCAAAGTACTTGGTGGAGCACATCAATGGCAATGCCATGTACAACCTGAAGCATCCTTGGACCAAGGCCGTGTACGACGCGTTCCGCAGCATGGACGACGGCAGCATGATGGAAGAGATGGCTTTCGACGTGGCCTTTGCAATGATTACCATGGATGCCATGTCTGGGAACAGCAGTGAGTTTGCTGCCGCCTGGGCCGCGGCAGGGGGCAACAGCCAAACCTACAACTGGGACTCGATGCTGGTGGGCAACTATGCCAACACGCTTCTGAACAGCAGCTTTGAGTTCCCAACGTACATCCGCCATGGCTCGAGCAAGAACCTGTTCGAGAATCTGGCAGATGAGCACGTGACCCTGGGCGTGGCAATGTTCGATCATCAGGGGCACTTCAAGGACACCGTTCCCACGCACCATCCCTTCAAGAAGATCCTGACACTCACCTATTTCCCGCAGCCGAACATGACTGAGACGGTTCAGACACCGGTGGGCAATGTGACCATGATGACGCAGGCGGCCACGGCGGAGCCTTTCTATCATCTCTGCGAGACCGCCAAGCTTGTAGACACGAAATGGTTCGCCCTCACGGACAACTACCACATCATCAAGGCTCCGGTGAGTGTTTTGATGGACGCTGACGAAAAGCCAGTGCTGCCCTACGTGCTCAGGAACTCCAAGTACTGCGGCGAACGCCCGAATTGCGAGGCTTCTATGCTGCAGGCAGAGGGTCTCTTCAGCATCACACTGAACTACCATCATGACAAGTACGAGGTTCTGTACAAGACCGAGGATGCTAAGAAGTTCTGCGATGCATGGGACCTCGCAACATCAGGCACGGCAGCTGCGTCGTGGAGCAATTGCAGCTTGTCCTTCGGCCCAACTGGCGATGACTACATCGCCTGGAAGATCAGCGTGGACCAGAACATCACCGAAGAGTTCACCCCAAAGGACAAGACGCGCTATGGCTGGAGAGCCTGGACCAGCCTCTGGAATCCGGCCCCAGTGGATGCCCGCGAGTGCACGCCGATGCTGTACGGCCCCAAGGAGTACCTGGAAACGCTCGGCAACATCTCCAAGTGCGCGGTCGACTATGTGGAGAATGCCGGCGCATGTGAAGCAGATGCCGCGTGTGAGTGGAAGGCCATGTTCGAGTCTGGCGTGTGCCTTCAGGATCCCAAGAGCGTCACCACGACGACAACGCTGGAGGGAACAGTCTACAGCACCATCGAAGTCACGTTGCCACTCACCGTGGACGATGCAGCGGCGATCCTCAACAACGACACCGTGCAGAATGCCATGAAGCAAGGCTTTGCGGATGCGATGGATGTGGACGTGGAGGATGTGATGCTGGAGATCCAAACAGCACGACGTCTGAGCTCTCCGACGCGGAAGCTTCAGACGGAGCTGTTGGCTGTGTTTTCCGTGATCATGGAAAGCCTCGACGAGGCCATCGTGAAACAGGTCGAAATCGAGACCGTGTCCCTGGATGCAACCAACCGCGCCATCGCCAGTGCCGTTGCAGCTGCGGGCTTCTCGGGCTCCGTGGAGGTGACTGGCAAGACCACCATGCGAGTGCCTGCGCCGACAACCACGACGACCACCACGAGCACCGAAGCCAGCAATACCACCACCAGTACCACGGACGGCGGTGACGACGGCGATGCCGGCGACGATGGCGACGACGGTGACGAGGAACCGCCCAGCTCGGCAATCACCAAGACTGCCTCTTCTGTGCTGGGACTCCTCGTACTGTTGGGCTGGGCCTAAGGCCTAAGCATCCGCTAGGACCAGGAGGGGAGCAGGGGCAGGGGCGCCCGATTTTTTCCGACGGGCTGGAAGTCCCAATAGCGCGAGCAGCCCGCCGCTTTACTGTAGTGTCTTCTGATGGGGTGAATGGCCCCGCACCAATTTTGTCACAGAGCTTGATCCGGGTCCTGACCATCAAGGCCAGTAGCGAGCTCTAACTCTCTAACTCAAGCCGAAACAGCAATACCGATGCTGGCAGGCACACCTGGCACGACGGAGGGCGCACTAGATGCGCACTCGCACGACGAAGCATGCCATTTTGCAGGAGGCCCGTAAAGGCAAAGCCTACGGCCTACAGCGACCGAGACTTCCCGGCGGGGGCAGGTGAAGGAAACAGTGCCGAGCAGTCCGCTGAAGTGCTGAGGCTGTTTATCGCTGTCTGTCGCTATTCACAGGCCTCATCATGCCTGCATGGGTTGTTTCTCTAAGAGCTCACGGTTGGTCGGCATGTGTCGGAAGTGCCCAGGCTGAGCCATCGGAGTTGCAGGATCAGCTGCGACGCACCCCAGGAACACCTGCAGAGGACTTGCCCGAAGCGTGCAGCCGTGTCTCTGTTTGTTCCATCTTTGTCCCCAAACATTCTGTACACCATGCGGGGTTCCTACATTTGCAGTAGTGAGAGCTGGTTAGCTTGCATGTACGGGCGCGTGCAGGCCAGCGTTCCCCGGCAAAGCATTCTGGCAGTGCTCCCGAATCCGACCGAACCCCCCTACTGTAGCACTTGGGGGAACGAGTTTTGTCCTGCTGTCTCCTTGTGGTCGTTAGTGGTCGTCGTGGCGGTCCTGGTGGTCTTATTGGAGATCTATCACTGTTTGGGGAGCCACGCTGGCATAGTGCTTTTTTTGCACGCCGCGTGAGGAGATGCCACGCCATCTACTGTAGCGGTTCATCAAGTTTCTCGTCGCCCGAGACTTGGCCGTGCACATGCTGTACTAGGCGTCTCATGAATGCATTAGTGTTCGACCTGCCACGCCTTTCACAAGCACCGCAAGCTCGACGACATGATGCAACAGTCGGGTCGAACCTTCTCTTGCTGCAGCGTTTGCTGCTCAAGCGCTGCTCTCCGAGTCCTACCCTCCGTGACAGCCATGAAGCTGCTGACCTGGACACTCGCTGCTCTGGGAGTCGTCCAGCTGAGGGCTGCAGGACGGGGCGCTGGGAAGGGCCGAGCCTTCTTAATTGCCGCTGTTTGCTAGGCCAGTGCTTGTCGTCTCCCTCTTTTCTGCACTCCTGCAGGACATCAGAAACTGGCAGTCGTCCGCGTGTTCTCAACTGACGAGGAGGTCCAGTTGCTCGAGGAAAGTGGCCCAGCTTGGGGACGGACGAGTCCATGCGCTGTCAAGTCGAACATGAGCGACATCGATCTGATTTTGGTTTACAGCAAGGACTTGGCTTCGAACCCTACGGCCCTCCAGGTCGTTACGGATCTGGAGAACGGCTTTCAGAAGTATATGGACATGCAGAACTACAACTCCTCGAACGTGACCACGGGTACGTCATACGACTGGATGAAGTGCTTCTCGGGTATCCACCACATGTCAGCCATGTTGAACCCAGAGCAAGACGTCTATGACAACCGAGGCTACACCACCAACAAGCATTGGGTCTCCGGTCCCAATGCGGTCTTTTCCAAGATCATGACCGAGATGTTCAGTGCCGAGCCTGCCGACATGTACGACACCTTCTTCCTGATGGAGATGGATGCCGTTCCCATCAAGAGCCATTGGCTTGACCAGTTCGAGACCGAGGCCCATGAGATGGCGGACAACAACATGGCCGTCCGCGGGAGCCAGTACCTGGGTGACAAGTGGGATCTCTTCAAATCGATGATGCCAAAGTACTTGGTGGAGCACATCAATGGCAATGCCATGTACAACCTGAAGCATCCTTGGACCAAGGCCGTGTACGACGCGTTCCGCAGCATGGACGACGGCAGCATGATGGAAGAGATGGCTTTCGACGTGGCCTTTGCAATGATTACCATGGATGCCATGTCTGGGAACAGCAGTGAGTTTGCTGCCGCCTGGGCCGCGGCAGGGGGCAACAGCCAAACCTACAACTGGGACTCGATGCTGGTGGGCAACTATGCCAACACGCTTCTGAACAGCAGCTTTGAGTTCCCAACGTACATCCGCCATGGCTCGAGCAAGAACCTCTTCGAGAATCTGGCAGATGAGCACGTGACCCTGGGCGTGGCAATGTTCGATCATCAGGGGCACTTCAAGGACACCGTTCCCACGCACCATCCCTTCAGGAAGATCCTGACACTCACCTATTTCCCGCAGCCGAACATGACTGAGACGGTTCAGACACCGGGGGGCAATGTGACCATGATGACGCAGGCGGCCACGGCGGAGCCTTTCTATCATCTTTGCGAGACCGCCAAGCTTGTAGACACGAAATGGTTCGCCCTCACGGACAACTACCACATCATCAAGGCTCCGGTGAGTGTTTTGATGGACGCTGACGAAAAGCCAGTGCTGCCCTACGTGCTCAGGAACTCCAAGTACTGCGGCGAACGCCCGAATTGCGAGGCTTCTATGCTGCAGGCAGAGGGTCTCTTCAGCATCACGCTGAACTACCATCATGACAAGTACGAGGTTCTGTACAAGACCGAGGATGCTAAGAAGTTCTGCGATGCATGGGACCTCGCAACATCAGGCACGGCAGCTGCGTCGTGGAGCAATTGCAGCTTGTCCTTCGGCCCAACTGGCGATGACTACATCGCCTGGAAGATCAGCGTGGACCAGAACATCACCGAAGAGTTCACCCCAAAGGACAAGACGCGCTATGGCTGGAGAGCCTGGACCAGCCTCTGGAATCCGGCCCCAGTGGATGCCCGCGAGTGCACGCCGATGCTGTACGGCCCCAAGGAGTACCTGGAAACGCTCGGCAACATCTCCAAGTGCGCGGTCGACTATGTGGAGAATGCCGGCGCATGTGAAGCAGATGCCGCGTGTGAGTGGAAGGCCATGTTCGAGTCTGGCGTGTGCCTTCAGGATCCCAAGAGCGTCACCACGACGACAACGCTGGAGGGAACAGTCTACAGCACCATCGAAGTCACGTTGCCACTCACCGTGGACGATGCAGCGGCGATCCTCAACAACGACACCGTGCAGAATGCCATGAAGCAAGGCTTTGCGGATGCGATGGATGTGGACGTGGAGGATGTGATGCTGGAGATCCAAACAGCACGACGTCTGAGCTCTCCGACGCGGAAGCTTCAGACGGAGCTGTTGGCTGTGTTTTCCGTGATCATGGAAAGCCTCGACGAGGCCATCGTGAAACAGGTCGAAATCGAGACCGTGTCCCTGGATGCAACCAACCGCGCCATCGCCAGTGCCGTTGCAGCTGCGGGCTTCTCGGGCTCCGTGGAGGTGACTGGCAAGACCACCATGCGAGTGCCTGCGCCGACAACCACGACGACCACCACGAGCACCGAAGCCAGCAATACCACCACCAGTACCACGGACGGCGGTGACGACGGCGATGCCGGCGACGATGGCGACGACGGTGACGAGGAACCGCCCAGCTCGGCAATCACCAAGACTGCCTCTTCTGTGCTGGGACTCCTCGTACTGTTGGGCTGGGCCTAAGGCCTAAGCATCCGCTAGGACCAGGAGGGGAGCAGGGGCAGGGGCGCCCGATTTTTTCCGACGGGCTGGAAGTCCCAATAGCGCGAGCAGCCCGCCGCTTTACTGTAGTGTCTTCTGATGGGGTGAATGGCCCCGCACCAATTTTGTCACAGAGCTTGATCCGGGTCCTGACCATCAAGGCCAGTAGCGAGCTCTAACTCTCTAACTCAAGCCGATACAGCAATACCGATGCTGGCAGGCACACCTGGCACGACGGAGGGCGCACTAGATGCGCACTCGCACGACGAAGCATGCCATTTTGCAGGAGGCCCGTAAAGGCAAAGCCTACGGCCTACAGCGACCGAGACTTCCCGGCGGGGGCAGGTGAAGGAAACAGTGCCGAGCAGTCCGCTGAAGTGCTGAGGCTGTTTGCTCGTCGTTATTCGCAGGCCTCATTGTGCAACATTTTTTTTTGACGTGTTTGAGGCCTCGTTCTGCACTGTGCTGTGCCTTGGAGTCTTTTGTCGTCCTTTTCAACCGCCCGTTGTTGGCCCAGGCTACGCTGCTGAACATCGGAACAGCTGAGCTGGACCTGCATCACAGGACCTGGCCGCGTCAGGGGATGTGTGCTTTGTTTGCGCTGCTTTGTTTCCGGGCTGCGGCCGTAGCTGTACATCCTCAAGAGGTCGTCTTTGCAACAAACTCTCATCTCTCTTTTGACAGCTGTAGGCAGCAAGGCACATTGCGGTCCACTGGCTTGGCGTGAGAGCGGCGTCGGGGTTTGCTGCAAAGTTTGTATCCCAGCTTGACTGCAGCACTGCCGCCAGTCTGCGAGCACATTTCACAAGGACCTGGCGCGTGTCGTGGGAGCCTGCTCGGTGGTCGCAGGTCGGCCCGCCCGAGGCCATCCTCTTGTCGTGTGGGTGTAGTCAAGCGTATGTTTGTAGGTACGGGTGTGCGTAAGTACATATCGTACATATGTAGGTATGTAAGTATGTAGGTATGAATTTTATGTCTGTATGTATGCATTTGGCATATATGGATTGCCCAACTCTTCCTGGGCGTCCGCAGGCCGGATTGCCGCATCCTCCAAAATCCAGTCATTGAGCAGGAGTTCGCCAAAGTGCCAATGTGTTGCCTTGCTGCGTACCTGCTCGTCGGAAAAAAAGGAGCGATCGTGTCCGTGCCTGTGCGAAGGGCCTGCAGTGGTACTTATAGAGTTTTCATGATTTTGATGCACACTGGACGACGCCTGGAGTTTCTGCGTAGCCCTTGACGCAGGAGAGAGTAGGCAGTCTTCTGGGTACAGCTAGCACCTAGTATCTATGTAAAGTAGCATGAAGAGACTAAAGAAGTCGTAGGAGTCGTATCCTGGAGTTCCGGACGAGCAGAGATTATTCGAAAAGCGACCTCCCAACCGGCCTAAGACTCTTGGCCCAAGCACCCCTTCCTTTCCTGGAACGCAGGCTTGCCAAGAAGCCCATGACCTGTATGACCCGGCCCAGGTCAGCATTGAGGGGAACCTCGAGACACGTCCTCCCCAGAAAGGGTGCCTTCCTCCTCTCTGCCTTAGGGTTCAGGTTAGGGCCGGTTCGGGGGGTACCTTCCTCCTCCGTTGCTCTTTTGAGCGTTCGTGGCCGGAGGGCTGGAACGTTGAACAAGTCGTCTTATTTGGGATGCTTGCAAGTGATGCTCATGGTTGGGAGTCTCTGCACCAGCCATAGCCGCAGGAGCGATATGTCAACATGCCGCATTGTGCTCTTTGCAATGTGAGCGCTTCAGGGGTTTGCAATTCTTCAACCCCAAACCCCAAACCCCCGTCGCGTGGGCATAGATCCTGGCCATGCGAGAGGGAAAAATCACCGTCGTCCGAGGCCCACCGGCTGTGACTAGCGATGCCGCTCATGTAGTAGTAGTAGTAGTAGTAGTAGTAGTAGTAGTAGTAGTAGTAGTAGTAGTAGTAGTAGTAGTGGCAGTAGCATGAGTAAAAGAAGCAGTAGCAGAAGCAGTAGCAGTAGTCGTCGTCGTGGTAGTAGTAGTGGTAGTGGCAGCAGCAGCAGCAGCAGCAGCAGCAGCAGCAGCAGCAGCAGCAGCAGCAGCAATGGTAGTAGTAACGGTAGTAGTAGGCACATCAATCAGGAGTCTTATGGTGGCAATGTCTGGCTATCTCCATCAACTTGCAGACATGGCACAAGCAACGGCCCTGGTCGTCTTCGTGATCCTTGCTGTTCGCCAGAACATGGAAGAATCATCACATTTCCTTTTCCTGGTACTAGTCTGGGGTTCTTGTGTCACTGCGTTTCACTTCAAAAGAGAACGTGCCTGCGCCCATTACTACACACACCGGAAAATGTATGTCCAGTCTTTGGAGAATATCGTTAGCAAGTCCATGGGCTTACCAGCCTACCTATTGTCTCAAGTTCAGTTGAGAAAGCCGCCTGCTCCTTGCAGCCATCTGGCTGAGTGTTCTTTGCGCTCGACAGCGCCAGACGCCATGTGGGTGCAGAGCTCGTTGGGGATGCTTTGGCTGTCGACCCCGCGCCCATGAACTGACAGTGCTAGTTGCCACCGCAACCCTCGAGGCTGGTGCTGCCAGTCTCACAGCTGTCGGCATCATGACACGGACACCCGGTCGTCATGCATGATCGCCAAGATTGTTCGAATGCAGCAGAGACCGTATGAGAGACAGTTGCAGCTTAAGGTTCTACTGAATGCACAGCCGCTGCTGCTTCTCATTCAACTGCTGCTGCTTAACGTGGTACTGTAGTAGTTGTGGTCCTGGTGGCGGCAGTGGTGGTGGAAGAGATGGAGGTGGTGATCGTAAGTAGCTTGCTCGATAACAAAGCTCCAAGCAGCAGGAGTCGGGGGAGCAGGAGGACGTGAAGCTCGCAGTAGAAGGTAGCGGCAGCACTAGCAGCCCGGGTAGCGGTAGCAGCCGTTGCAGTCGCAGTGGCAGTGGCAGTGGTGGTGGTCTTATGGTAGTTGTAGCAGTGGTCTGTCGTTGTGGCGGTGATGCTGGTTTTTGGCAGGCGTCGCAGCCTTGAAGCCGGGCACCACAACTCAAGCAAGTTAGAAGGCGACCCGCACTCTGAGGCGCCTCGCCCTCTGCTGGCCCATGTCGCCGTACTCGCACTTTGCATTCTAGAGGCCTCCCGAACTTCAGAGGGTTTGGTTTTTGTTTGCTTCGGCAGAGACGGCGGGACAGAATGAGGGCCAGCGTATGAAGCAGAAAATTTGCGTTTGGGATGGTTTGGGTTGGATAGTTTGCATCGGATGAAGTAGGCAACGCAATCATGAGATCCTAGCGTGAGTTGTCCTAAAGCACGGGTCCATTCTGAACGGCCAAGATCTGAATCTCAAAAGCCCCAGTTCCGGCTCAAGCCTTTAGTCGAAAGCCCGAAACCTTCACCCCATCTTCCCGAAGGCAGAGTCGATACTCGGCGGCTGTCCGACCTTGCCGAAGAGCCCATACATTGAGCAGGCATTCCGGCACGGGGCAGGTCCAGACACATAAATGAGCAAAGAGATAACTCAGCAAACGAACAAGCAAACTTCAAGGTATAGTGTGTATATATATATATATACATATACACACACACACACACATATATATATATATATATATATATATGCCCGGAAGCTTCTTTTAACCACTGGCCCACATACATGCCTCACACATGCATGCGTATGCATATACATACAGGCAGAGGTGGGGTATAAATAAAATACGACATCATCAAGTAGATAAAACCAATAAACAGGTAGTGGTATATATATATATATATATATATATGTGTGTGTAAACAAATGCACATTTGGGCATATAGCTATGCATATGCACACATGTCGTAGTTGCAGTCGCAGTCGTGATTGTTGCCGAAGTTGTAGTCAGCGTTGCCGTCGCAGGCGTCGATGTAGACGCAGTCTTCGAAGGCTAGACGTGCCCAACGCTCATCCCTCACCTGATTCGCCAAGCCGAATTTCGCCGAACAGTCGCCAAACCGTGAGCCCTAAACCGGAAAGCATAAACCCAGATGTCACAGAAAGGGGGCTCAGCCAAAATGAGTAATTAAGCGGAGACCTGAAGCTCCCCCAAAAGGCATCACCCTTCGGCTGGCCATTGTCACCCAACAACTGGACCTTTGCCGAGCAGAGGGATTGGCACGACAGGCCGACTGAACACCTGCGTTCTCAGAGAGTCTCAGATCCGACCAAAAAGAGGAACATGTTTGAAATCATAGCTGAAAAAATGTATAAAGATAGATACACATCAGAATATGAGCCGCCCCCTAATACTTCAGGCAGACTCCCTGACTTAAAGGACAATGAGGGCTCGCGGAGTGGGTTGTGAGCGTAGGGTCGTGGGGCCGAGGGATTAAAAAGAAGCCCACGTTTTTCCTGTTTTCTGGAAGGACTTTCTGCAGCCTTCTGGGTGCATTGCAGACCTCCACCGGTACCGAGTGCCAGAGCCGAAACACACAGCTTGTTTCGACCCCATTCCGACACAAAGAATTCCGAGGCCTAGAACCGGAAAGCCCCAAACCCCGAACCCACCACCCCACATTTTTGTTTGCCCAATGCCAGAGCCGCATCCCTAGACAAGAATCTAGAATCCCACGGCTCAGAACACCAAGCCGAGATTCTCGCTCTGTCAGGTTTCTCGCCTGTGCCGGCGAGCGCCAGTCTCCGGTAAACGTGCTAACCACCGGACCGTGTGTCCACAGTGGCGGGCAGGAATGGCCTGCTGCTGTCATGATGATGATCAGCTTGCTTTTCTTGTCCTGCTGCCACCGTTGTGACGCTTGCATCAGAACCTGTTGCAAGAGGGGGAAGTATCATATCCCATGTACGCTTGTCTTGTAATGGAATACCCCAAACCCTTTCTTAGTTCCTAACAAGATACTCAGGCCCCAGATGTCTTGCGGGGGCGAACTCCTCTTCGTTCACCTCCTTGACCTCCACCAGCTCGAACCCTCCACAAGTCGGAAATCGTTGTCGTACTTGGTACGAGTACCACGGCTGTCATCTCGACCTGCTTGCTTTGGAAAGTGCACTACTTAGGTGTGGGTGGCGGTTCAACCCTAAACCCTAAACCCTAAGCCTAAACCCTAAACCCTAAACCCTAGACAAACTGACCTTAAACCCTAAACCCTACAATGCTACTACTCTCAAATTCTGTCCGCACGCGCTGAAGCACTGCGCATTCTGCGACACCCGCAGCTTTCAGCCACCGAGTCGAGTCCTCGGGACCCATCGTTGGTTCTGGGTGTTTCCGAAAATAAGGGGTACCTCATTTTGGGGTCCCTTCTGATAATGATCTTACTATTCAGGGTACTATATTAGGGTCCCCTATTTTCTGAAACTCCCATATGACATGATTGTTCAATCGACACGATGACACAATGGCAAGTGAGGGTCGATTTGGGCAGAGGGATGAGTGTAGGGAGGGTCAAGGTGGTTTTGGCCGGCGGACAGAGGATCACGGGTATCTGGACACTGGGGCGGGTGAAGCCTCACGGATTCCGCCACCATCTTCAGGAACATCATCGATGTCGTCAAGAACATATGCAATTATTACTGATACCTGGCGCTATCCTGAGCATCGCTCTCCTGGCAGACAAGCATGGAGGTTGCTTGATGCCGCCATGACTAGCCGTATCTATGCCTAAACCCTAACCCCTAAACCCTTGTTTCGCTCAACAGACCTCGAACCACATGCCTCGCCTGGGCTGTCCGAGTGTGAGCGCCGAAACCTTAAACCCTGAACGCCGCAGGATGGACAGCTGGAGGGAAGGGCGATGTACACCGTGGCTGGTGGGACCCCGCAGGCGCCTTTCCCGGATCTTCTTACGGGGGGGCCCCTTGCAGGAACCTATAAGGGTTCTATAGGGTTTAGTTGTTTAGGGGGTCCCAGAGAGCCCAGTACCCCGAAAGTAAGGAATATACCTTAAATCATAATATGAATCCCCTTATTTTTGGTTTAAGATATCTTCCTTAATTAAGGGGTATTGGGCTCTCTGGGATCCCTTCAAGGATCGCGTAACGGGGGCCTTGATGAGTGAGAAGCCTTCCAGCTTCCATCAAGGCAGGTGCCTTCTCTTGCGAAAAGTAACAGCCATCACAAGAAGAGTGGTAGCGACAGCCGGCACGCTGGAGCTGATTTCGTGGGTGTGCGACAGGACGAAGTACATTTTTGCAACATATGTAACAGATGTCCGTCTGTCTGTATGTATGTATGTGTGTATATATGTGTGTGTGTGCATGTATGCATGCATGCATGCCATTATGTATCTGTATCTGTGTCTGCGTATGTGTATGCGCATGCGCGTGCGTATGTGTACATGTATGTATATGCGCATGTGTATGTGTACGTGTATGTGTACGTGTATGTGTACGTGTGTGCCTATGTGCATGTGTATGTGTGTGTATGTGTATGCGTATGCGTATGCATATGCGCATGCGCATGTGTATGTGTATCTGTATGTATATGTATATGTATATGTATATGTATATGTATCTGTATCTGTATGTGTATCTGTATCTGTATCTGTATATGTATATGTAGATGTATATGTGTATGTGTATGTGTATGTGTATGTTATGTGTATGTACGTATATATGTGTACATATACACATACACATGGACAAACATATAAATCCGTGTGGTGTGCATGAACTTACGTCTGCATGTACATGTGTAAGTATGTACAGCACGTATTTATGCAGTTAGGTATGTAGGTGTAAGTCTAGGTGTATGCGTGTTCGTTTGCGCATGTGCATGTTCATGTGCATGCTGCATGTGTGCGTATGTCCTGTATGTACTTGTGTGCAGGTATGTGTATGTATGTGTGTGTAGATATATATATATATGTATATATATGTATATATATATATATATATATATATACACACGTATCTTTTCACATGTAATTACATACGTGCATATGTATGTCCCGCAATGTTTTGTAGTGTAAGGTAAGGTAATGTAATGTAGTGCCACGCAGTGTAGCACCATTAACAAAATGTAATGTAACGCACCGCAGTGGAATGCAACGGCATGTATGTATGTATGTATGCATGCATGCATGTATGCGGGTGTATATAACTGTGTATGTACGGTACCGATGTATGCGCGTATTCCCACTGTGCCTGCACAAGCACCTTGCAGAGGCCTAGCGACAACAAGTATACTTGCAAAGCCACCTAAAAGCTGCACGTCACGACGCATTATACAGTAGCAAATGCCGAATAGAGTAACACTTGCATCTCCGAAAATATCACACCAGGACCGTGCACTGGGGTATTGCAGCGAAAGGTCGCATATGCATCAGCTGAAACTTTATAGGACGATGTCTGAGTTGTACTAACCTTGCTGTTGTACAGCTCGTGATGCCATCCGGCTAAAGTTGCCTGCTGGCGAACCTAAGTATGCAGTCCTTTGTTAAATTCAGTATTTCGAATAATCATGCAGGGCGACAGAGGCTGAACTGTAGCATCATGAAGATTGTAGCGTCATGGAGAGTACCATGGTGATTCATGGCAGCAGTGCAGAGCAGCATGGCCTCAAGGAAGAACAGGCAACTGCATCTAACACGAATCATAACAGAATGCAGGCTTCTCAGATCTGTCTGGATGGGGCAATCGAAGCAGAGAGAGTTCTGGCAGAAGATGTTATTGGTAAAGCCGCAGGTCACCGTGAGCCCGTACATGCGGTCCGTGATGTTGGAGGCCGACTTTGGCTCCATCATGCTGCAGGACAGAATTTGTGCAGAGCTTGCTCTTTCGGTGCACTACATGCCACTGCCGTTGCCTGTGACTCGGCTTGCATCCTTGCAAAGGACGACACCGGGCGGGACGTTGAGTATACGGCACACCAGGCCACGGAGTGAACCAAAGAGAGTCGAAATTGAAATTGAGCCTGCGCACATTCTGCGCCTGCTGTGCTGATCATGACGAGCGGGAGACGTGGGCGATGCTGACAGTTACAAGCAAGCATGACTCTGATTCGGAGTTTTGGTTTGGCAGCTTGAACTTTGAGCGTACATGCAGCCATGAAGCATGTTGCTATTGCGGCCGTTTCGTGTTTTGTCGGGCTTGGTGTAATTTGCTTAAATGATTACTAATACTATTTTGGTGGTTCCTTATTATATATATATATAGTATACTGGGCACCAAAACCCTATCCTTATCATTAAGGCCCCTATTTTCTAGTACCCTTACAGATCACATACAGTAGGCCCTGTGGGCCCCCTTTAAAACCCTATTCTAATTATTAAGACCCCTATATTTGTCAGCTGACAGATCCACCTCTCCGCGGACAGCTGGCATACGCTGAATGGTGCGCCCGCAGCGGTGGCAGCCTCAGAACAGATGGCCTTACCCACGGCGACGAACAAAGCCACTGCTCTGGAGTTGTTGTCTATTCAGTCTCTTGCGTAGTCGTCACGGCATGCCGAAGTCACAATCTTCCCGGTTTTCGACGGGTGATGGAGAGAAAGGTGGCAAGAACGGTCAGACGCATCCCATACTACTCTGCCACAGATAGTTAGAACTCTTGTAAGCCCTGTAGTCCTGTAGCAGCGAGCCTTTATGCATGGAAAGAGGAGCGTGGAGATTTTATTGAATTGAATCAAAGCAGACAGAGCCTCAATGCTCCTGCAGTAGGATTGCTGTCGTTCCGTTGTCCCCTGGTAATTTGTGTAATCTGAGTGCAACCCGAGCCACAACAGCGATTCGAGATAAAACGGCTGGTGTTCAAGAAACAAGCTTTCTGAGACCCATTCAGTTTTCATTCGGGCATCGATCGGGATTTAGCTGCAGTGAAAGAGCAGGCGGCTGCGGTCTTAGGTCCAAGGTTAAGGGTTTAAGCTCCAGGACTCAGCGGTAAGGGTGAAGGTGTGCACGATCTGAAGAAAGGCAGGGAGGCCATTCAATAGCACTTCAGTTATAATCTAATTTAGACTATAGGTAAACGGTGTGTTTATGTAGAGAAAATTGAAGTGCCATTCTGTCTTGCAAATGATAGTGGATGTGATTGTAGCGGTTTTGAAATACGGTTTTGTCCTAACTGTAAGTTGTGTAAGGATGTAGAATTATTCAAGAGCTATAAGAAGAATAAAGCATACAATAAATTATGTAGGAGATGCTTAGATAGTATGAACAGCTATAAACAAAAGTCAAGTCTTTATATATAGGTTTTAAACTCAAAGCTTTTAAAACCCTATAAAAAGTTTGAATCTCAAACTTTTTATATATGCCTGGCGAAGATGATGATGTTGTTGTTGTTAAACCAAGCAAACGAATTAGTAGTCAAGAGGTTTTAGAGAAGTTAGAACTACCTGAGAAAAACTTGATGAACTACTTAATAAGCCTAAACCAGTCATAAAACCAATGAATCAAATAGTGATGCTTATAAGAATAGAATAAGAGAAGCGTATATGTTAATAAACTGAATCACGAAGATATTGAGTTCTCAAGCAAAGAGACATTAGTATATTATGAGATTCACTTTGACGACCAAGAGAGAGCATAATAATAGATCTCGTGTATGACAAAAGGACATATTTAACAAACTGCATTTAAAGAGTTGAGAACTCATATATGAATGGCAGAAGCATCGGAACATGAACGCAAGCAGGAAATAACTAACATTAATAATGACCTGAACTTGACAAAGTATGAAGTTATCAATACACTGGCCGACAATATACCGTATATTGAAAACGGCACGATGATGACCTATGTAAACAATGGAACACTAATTGTTGAAATTTTAGACGGAAGAGCAGTAGACATTGTGTAACGAGACGAGGAGAGAACCAAAAGGAAGGAAAATTCTTTATAACATGATGAGAAAACAAATAACCAAAAGGAAGGGAAACACTTTATAAAATGATGAACGGAGAAGCGTAAATAACATCTTACTAATTAGTTTTAGTAAACTCCTATGTTGTAGCAGTTCCCAGTTCAGGGTTTGGGTTTTTCTATTAGGGCCTTACCCCACACCTCATATTAGGATGATGGTTATTTTACGGGTAAGGTTATGGACGCTACCACAGTAGTCTCGCGAGGCTTCGCGACTGTTTAGGCGCTTTGAGTTTCGGGTTGTGGATTATTGTATTGGTTTTGGGAGGTGCTTTGTGTATTGTCGGATTGAAGGGTTGAATTGTTAGGCGGGTTGAGAAATGGTGTGAAAGTGTAGGGGGGAGTATAGGATGCGAGGTGTGGGGTTAGCTTCTTGCTTGCTATAGACCCCTTTAAAGGAACCTTATTCGAGTTATAATTATAGTATCGTATACACCCAAACTCTACTCTTATTTTTTACGCCCCTATACCACATCTTTACAACAGACCTTAGTGACCCCTTTATACGAACATATTCTAGTTATAGCGGTAGTATACTATACCCCCAAACCCTACACCGTAGCTTCAGGCGGAGCTCCTGATCCTTCACAAGCCGAAGGAGGCCAGCGACATGATCAAGGGCGGCGTGGCCAGGAGCTGAGACAAATCTCCGGGGCGCCTAATACTAGGGGCCTTCAATAATTGGGTTCCTTTAAGGATTCCTTTTAAAGCGTGACTTTCAGTTCACTGCCGAATTGGATGGGATTCTGATTCTATGCTAATAATATAGGGGCCTAAGTAATTACCAATACTATTTTGGGGGTTCCTTATATAAACTATAGTAAAATGGCTTCAAGCTCCAGAGGGAGAGAAGGAAACATGCTCTGGCTGAGATTGTGAGCGTGATGTTTGAGCATGACGACGCTGCGGACAGCCCGCTCTTCGAGCACCTGGGCATGCCAAAGGACCATGGGAGGGCAGGAAATGGTCACAGATGTACGAAAACCCGAGGCCGCTGCTCCGCCACCTCAGCAACAGATCGTTTCGAGCATGCGTCTTCTCGGAAGTCCCTGGACAGGAGGGCCCGGAAATGGAAGCGCTGGGCTCCTGGCAGCTGCCTCACTACGTGAACCTCCTGGACAACCTCCAGGAGCCCTGAGTTCTAAGTTTGTGTTGCATAGCACCCTGCTTTCAGGCCTATGGGATCACGATGGACCCACAACCCTAAACCCTAAACCGTACCCACAGCCACAGCCCCTTAGTATATCACAGGGCGAAGCAGAGTCTCGGTCGGGAGATGTCAGAAGTTCAGCAGTCAGCCTGAGGCCTCGCAACGAGCCTTTGGGACAAGCACTAGGAATGAAGACGAATGCAACCACTCCATTTGCAAGAGGTTGTTCGCACATTTATCCCAAGTGTTTCTAGACTAGACTCACTAGACGTCATCGAGATCCGATGCTGGACGAAAGCCTGTCTTGTGCCATGCCGCTGCCTGTGATCGCTTCCCTGGAGGACGTGCTGAAAGGTGCAACCTACCAGTACGAGGGTTCTGTACCAGTGCCGGCCTCGGTAATTGGCCTTTCGGGGCTTAATTCCATAATGGTAGTATAAATGATCCCAAAAACCCTAAGCTCGAAAGCACCGAAACCCTTAAGGGGCTTCACGAGCTTGGGGTCGACCCTTCGGGGGCTTTGGGCGCCTGCTCTGCTTCCCATGAGACCTCAACGCAGGACCCCTGCGGAGGTTAGGGTCTATCAGGCTTTACCGCTGTTTAGTCCAGAAAAACTAAGACGGCCGTGACACCAGTATTTGTACTGTGGGTCCATGCAATGGCCAATGAGCTTCGATGCAAGGACAGGTCGAGGCCCACCGTTCTTGCGATCCCAGGTGAAGACTCAGTTCAGCACCGGTGGCCTTTACTCGTACAGTGAAGTGCTTTAACATAGCTGATGTGGTTGACTTGAAGATCCATATAGAGGTCATTCTGTAAGATATGATGGGCTGTTGGGCCTGGGACGTGTGAGGTGGAGGCCCGAAGACAGAAGCCCTGCCCTGCAGAGTCCGAAAGTGAGAGTGTCCTTAGGCATAAGATCTCCTCGTTGGCCCGGATTCCCTTGGGTGCAGGTCTGATAGGAACTTGCAACTGAATTATCATAACAGGGGTCCATCTATAGTAAACAGTAGGGATGGATCGATTTGGGCACCCGTATCAGGAAGTCCCTGCTGCATCAGGGCTCTCTGCCATGCCAACAGAGCGGGGTTCGCTTGCACTCCTGCCCCTGAAATCTGGTGACCGTCCCGGCCTAAGCTAACTTCCAAACACGTAGACGACTCGAGATTTCCAAACCCAAGCTTTTTCGAGCCTTGTCCATGCTCGATCTTGGCACACTTCCCGAAGCCATGCTTGTATCCACCTACAGCTTCGACCCTAAAGCCAGAAGCCGCATGCACTCTTGTCCTAGGTTCGTCCTATATAGTCAGGCGGGCGGCAACAGAGCCCTTGAACCTCAGCCTACTCCCTCTACGGATGTAAAGGAGCTCTCAGAGAACAACCTCCCAGGTGCCACCCTGCACTGAGAACATCAAGTACCTAGTCATGGGCCAGGTGAAGAGATTCGATTGCGAGGGTTCTAGCGGGGTTCGATTGCATCTGGTTCTATGCGGGCTGTTTTGTGGAGATAGTTGCAGATCTGCTGCCCTAGGCTCTATGACGAAACCTGCATGTGCCAGTGGTAAGACGGCGCCATCTTGGTGGAAGTAGCGGAAACTACCGGATCTCATGGACGTGTTCAGGGTCATGATTACTAATCAATTCCATGAGCAATCTAGCTCTTGTTTCCTTTGCCGTTGTCACTATTATGTGTCTTGCACTCGCAGAAATCAACTCTGCTCGTGGAAGCCCTTAGGCTGTTGCAGGATTGAGGCAGCAGTAGATCCTTAACTTATTCGTTGAGAGCAGAGCCTTTGAGTGACGAAGGACAATGCTGCAATCTTTCAGCTCATCAAGCTTCTAGCTGCGCTCGTGCTGGGAGTTTTGTCCATCGCCATGGCCAGCAGCATCGGCGAGCTCGTGATCGTGGCTCACAAGTTCCTCACTGCTCCGCAGGCGAGCCCACAGAGCTTCTGCAATGTGATCAAGCTGGGCACCTTCTGCCGAACAGTGGTTTGGCCATGTCTGCCGCCCCTTCTCATGTACCAGTACATCCGTGGTAAGGACGACGACATGTACGCCATCGATGTCCTCTACGCCAAGTCTGGCTCCAAGGAACCCAAAGCCTTCTTCGACGCGTCCCGCTTGAAGGGATCCAGCCACTGGCGCATGCAGCAGGACCTGGAGTCGATCCGGGCGGCCGCCAATGCTGAGTAGACAGATACTGTGCACAGCAGTCTTTGATTTCTGATAGTAAACGAAAAGGGAGTCTTGCCACATCTTGCCACCACGCGTTCTGAGCGGCAAAATGTTCTCGTGCATGTGTTTGCCGGGCTTTATCGAGAGCTTCATTCTGGGGCGGTTAGGAAACTCAGGCATGCGGGGTGCGGGTAACGATTGCGATTTTCATTTGTGCTTGAGGTGAAAAACTCTACTGAGCATTGTGCTCTTGCAGTGAAACAGCTATCCCTGCTTTTATACGTCTGCCAGTCGGGCTCCTATGGTTGTGCGAACACCAAGTCTGCGCTGAGACGTCGCCATGGCCAGCAGCATCGGCGAGCTCGTGATCGTGGCTCACAAGTTCCTCACTGCTCCGCAGGCGAGCCCACAGAGCTTCTGCAATGTGATCAAGCTGGGCACCTTCTGCCGAACAGTGGTTTGGCCATGTCTGCCGCCCCTTCTCATGTACCAGTACATCCGTGGTAAGGACGACGACATGTACGCCATCGATGTCCTCTACGCCAAGTCTGGCTCCAAGGAACCCAAAGCCTTCTTCGACGCGTCCCGCTTGAAGGGATCCAGCCACTGGCGCATGCAGCAGGACCTGGAGTCGATCCGGGCGGCCGCCAACGCTGAGTAGGCAGTAGACATCTCAGGCTGCATGAAGCAGGCCGAACTCGACTCGGTTTTGGTATCCCGTGCGAAATGATCGGGACAACCTGGTGCAGCAAGAAAGGAGACATGCAGAGAGATTGCCATAGATGATGCCATGTAATCGCCAACCGTAGCTCTTCATACATGCTTGACATTCTTGTCGGTTCGCCCGTCTGCCTGCATCTTGTATGTTCTGCCGTGTGCATATGTCAGGGCTCGAAAGCAGAGCACATCCAGAGTGGACCCCCGGCCAGTGCGGGCCACCAAGACTTAGATAGCCATGGCCAGCAGCATCGGCGAGCTCGTGATCGTGGCTCACAAGTTCCTCACTGCTCCGCAGGCGAGCCCACAGAGCTTCTGCAATGTGATCAAGCTGGGCACCTTCTGCCGAACAGTGGTTTGGCCATGTCTGCCGCCCCTTCTCATGTACCAGTACATCCGTGGTAAGGACGACGACATGTACGCCATCGATGTCCTCTACGCCAAGTCTGGCTCCAAGGAACCCAAAGCCTTCTTCGACGCGTCCCGCTTGAAGGGATCCAGCCACTGGCGCATGCAGCAGGACCTGGAGTCGATCCGGGCGGCCGCCAATGCAGAGTGACCTGCCAGGGCTGGCAGCACGCCCTTAGGCCCCAGACCGTGGCAAGCTTCATGACCAGAACTTTTTTAAAGTCGCACCTGGAGCAAGTCCAGTGTTTCGAAAGTCTGGATTGAGGCGCCGTGGGCTCGAGATGCAACTCTTGCGAGCCCGTCCATGGCGAAGCTACGAACTAGGTTCAAAAGCACGCATGCCGCATACGGGATTCGAGTGGGCGTATTCGCAGTAGACACTAGGCATTGCAAGTGTTTCGTCTTCTGATGATTGTCAAGGTCAGAGTTGTTTACGTGTAATTAGCGGTTCTGAAGTATTGCCATCCGTCGTGTTATCATCAAAAGCCTGGTGTTGTCGACACCCACTGTCATAAGTAACATGGGAGTTTCCGAAAATAGGGGACCCAAATACAGTACCCTAAGTAGTAGGATCCTTTTTATCAGGACCCCAAAATAAGAACCCCTTGTGTTTCGGAAAATCCCACATTTTTCTGTCATGATCATGCTGAGTACACTCCCCTCCACCTTCAAGTGGCATCGTTGAGCCCGAAGCGATTCCCGTAGAGCAGGTACTTGGAGGTTCAGGGGTAGCTACAGGTGGGGTTATATGTCCTGTAACATGGGTTATATCTATGAGAACCTGTGAAGTTTCGATTCTATATACACCAGCTTCCGAATGCCCATAGTGTAGCTGCTGACGGGGGCAATCCAGGGTCCGTCAACCCTAAGCCCGCAGCTCGAAACCCAAAGCCCCTACACACCGCCGCCAGAATCTCAACCCTACACCTTATGCTAGAATCGAGTCGACTAGATGGCAAAATAGAGGAGAATAGGATAGATAGACCAGTTAGATCATGCATAGTACACCGGATCAGTACAACACACCAGGCCATGAAGCCATAAAGGCTTAGATCTCCCTCTGTTTTTGGCGCCAGGCTTTGAAAGTCAGCCCACTTCAGACGGCGAAGCTGAAAGACGTCCTCCAGTGCCTGGCTGGGGGCTACAAGAAGCGTAGCCCGGCCGTGGGTTTTGGGGTTAAAAAGCCAAGATCCCTTAGTTAAGGGATATTCATTAAATCATATTAGGATCCTACTATAATTTACGGACTATTCCTGAATTAAAGGGATATTGCAGTCTCTGGGATATGGGGTTTTGAACAGTTACCAGAACACTTCTTCGGGTGCCTCATTGTACGTTTGGTAAAATGTACCCCGCAACCATGTTCTACTGGTGATGGCCCGTGTGCTAGGCTGTGGAGTTTCTAGAGGGCGGCTGTTCGGGATGAAGTGACCATAGCGACTCTGATGACGACTTGTCGCAGCCGCACGTAAGTGCCGATCACTGAACCCGATGTCGACAGCCCTTCCGAGCGAACAGTTCTACATGCGGTGAACATTGGTTACCCTAGGTCCAGGTGGAGGCCTATGCCAGGGCTTTTGTGGCAAGCCTTAAACCCAAGAAGCCCCGAAGAAGCTCATGTTCTTTCCTGTGTGAGCCTGTGGGAGGACCCTGGGTTGAATGCGGGAAACCCGGGGTTAGATCCCCTTCAAGAGCAAGGCAGCCCTATGCCAAATGGGCCCGGCATGTGCCGCGACATCACCAAGAACAGCCTCAAGGTGCACCCGAGTGTTTCTTCTCATGCTGTTGGGTGGCCGATGAGGATCTCAGCTGTAGGCAGCGGGCTTTTCAGGAGCAGTGCATTGTCTACAGGGCGTGGCTTCGGCGATCATCCTGGCCTAGCCTATTTTCTTGGCACGCTCAGTGTATTTGTCCTCAGCGCGTAGCCACTAGCGTGACCTGCGCCAGAACTCCAAAGAAACTGGCAGTTTGAGATATGCCCGGCCCTACACCCTAAACCCTACTCCTGGTTTGGCCGAGTGCGAGCGCCGAAACCCTCAAAGCCCAGACATTAGAAAGGAGCTCGAAAAAAACCTTCAAAGCCCAGACATTAGAAAAGAGCTCGAAAAAACTCTCAAAGCACAGACCTTAGAAAGGAGCTCAAGAAGAAACCCTCAAAGCCCAGACTTTAGAAAGGAGCTCAAAAAGAAAGGCCTCAAAGCCCAGACGTTAGAAAGGAGCTCAGAAAGAAACCCTCAAAGCCCAGACCTTAGAAAGGAGCTCAAAAAGAAAGGCTTCGAAGCCCAGACATTAGGAATCATCTCAAAAAGAAACCCTCAAAGCCCAGACTTTAGAAAGGAGTTCAAAAAAGAAACCCTCAAAGCCCAACCCGCCCTGCTGGAACCGGCCCTTGCCGAGGTGAAGCCAGGACACCACAGCGCAGCGACCTGCCAGGCGCCGGCATCCGGATTTTTTTTGCTGCACTGGGGGCTAGGAAAGCTCTTGGGGTGTTGTTGTGCTTGCCTTTGTAAAATAGATAAATGCATATTTGTGTCTTTTTAAATAGGTAGGTGCGTATTCTACAAAATAATGTCGAGTATGCCTTCTTGTGCTTGTCTAGTTGGCCTGCTATCAGAGTTATTTCTTGTTCACAGTCAGGACGGGGGTGGTGTAATCACACCAGTGTGATCGCCATTTGTCGGGTCATTGCTATGTTTTCTTGTCGCCACTAGATGCGTATTGTGACTATTGCTTTGCCAGCTGCTGTTGTCAGTCTTGCCAGTCATGATGTTGCAGCGTAGCGCCATCCCATCCGGCTAGTTTCGACTATGCTCGAATATTCCCACAAGAACCGTTTGGATTTGGAACTTGCGGTCATGTGGGGTTGCACAGCTAGCATGCCGGCGCCTTCGCTTCATTGGCTGACGGTTGTGGTCTAAGTGCTAAACCCCGGCAAACTAAGCCTTCGAGCCTAAACTTCGGAGTGCAAAGGCCGAGGATGGGCTTGTGTGAGGGTGAAAGACGTGGAAAGCGGATATCGCATCACAGTGGTTGTGGATTACGATGGTGTTTATGCCTATTCCTACTACAAACCATCATCACAAATATGAGCCTTCTTTCTATCTACTACTATTGCTACTGCTCCTACTCAGGCTGCTGCTGCTGCTCCTACTACTACTACTACTACTACTACTACTACTACTACTACTACTACTACTACTACTACTAGCACGAATAGTAAAATGATAGCAATCTTATCGTAATAGTAGATATAATAACACTAATCATGGGAAAAAACAATAGAAATGCGAATATAATTCGCGGAAGTAATCACCAGAATAGTACTAAGAATAGCAACGTCCCTTGTACTGGGTTCCTGACTAGTACCCTTTTGCCCTTGTTCTTTTAGGGTACCGTCCTTTTTAGGGTCCCGTTATAAAAGCCGAATAGTAGGAAAAGGGTACCCTTATTAAAAAAGGGGCTACTCAGGAACCTACGGTTGATATAAATCCTGCATTACCCAGAATTACGAATATACCCGAATTCCCATAGTTTAGGGTCCTTAAGGTAATGCAGGATTTATATCATCAACCGTAGTGCATATTGGTGCCATATTATAACAGGGACCCAACAAGGGACCCTAATTTTGCCAACCACCCATATGCACTAGGTTCCTGAGTAGCCCCTTTTTAATAAGGGTACTTTTTTTCCTACTATTCGGCTTTTGATAACGGGACCCTAGTTTTGACAACCACCCGTATGATTCCTAGGTATATACCCTTCATATAGCTATTAAATTCTCATTATATAGCCCATTATAGGGTAGGGGTCCCAAATAAGGGTGCCTCCTTTCCCCTTTGATAGTGCGTATGATTCCTTCTTTCAAGGCCGCCTCTTAATATGCACTAGATTCCTGAGTAGTCCCTATTTAAAATGGTTCCCATATGGGTTTCGGGGGTTAGGATCAAATACGAACAAGTGTACCCTGATTATAATAAAGAGGCTATTCAGGAGCCTGGTGCATATGATTCCTTCTTCAAGGCCGCCTGGATACACATTATATTATATAGCCCATTATAGGGTGGGGGTTTCATTCCTTCTTTCAAGGCCGCCTGGAGGAACGAGACCTGGTACCGCTTGGCCGACTGCTGGGACTCTCAGATGACAGATCCTCGGCCTGGAGACCGGCCGAATTCCAAAAAGTACATATACTATGTAGTAGAGACTATGTATAGCATATGGTATAGAGTATAACCATACGTCTACATATACACACACACACACACACATATATATATATATATATTATGATGATTTGTGAATATATAGTGTATAGTCTATGTTGTGTGGTGTAGAGTATCCGTAAGGTGTTAGGTCTTTTTGCGCTTCAGGGCCAGGGCGTTTGCTTCTTTCAGAACAGAGAAAGGTTTCTATGAGGGGCTTGTACATGATTTTCGCTAAGGCCTTTTGTAAGGTTTGCTATGCATGCATCGTTTGCATTGGTAAACAAGGTTTTATAGAGGAGATCTATAGGGTGTTCTAGATGTACGGCGCACGGGCGATACAGACTTTTCTTTGAGAGTTTCGATAAGGTTTGCGATACGGGTGCTTGCAAGGGGTAGCTAACATTTTTTGTGATGCAAATTGAGGCTTTCTGTAAGGCTTTTTGAAGTCATGGCAAAAAGTGGGGGGCCCTTAAAGGAACCTTAAAGCCTCAACCCTAACATAGCAGTACTCAGCCATGAGGGAGGCAAAGAAAACATAGCAGCCCCTTTTGGGAGCCCGAGTCCTGAGGGTGAGGAGAAGGCGATCTGCTCCAAGTCTCCCATCAACCTGGTTCCAGAGATGGCTGGCTCTACGGAAGGAGGCGGAGGGGTCCCGGGGTCCTGAGGCCTGCATTGATTACTCAGTCTTTTTGTAAGTTTTGTTTCGTTTAGTTCCCTGAGAGGCTCGCTGACCTTCAACATGGCCCCAGCAACTTGGCATCCGCCATCCAGCACCCTTTGCCTGCCAGCACGTTCAGGGATTTCATGCCGTCTTGACTAGTGGTGATTTTGAAGGGCTACGGGTTTATAGTTCCAGGGATCTCGGTACTCTATTCCGGGCACTTTCTTTGGTACAAGCCGTCCGGCTGAGGGAAGCGACTGGGAGCTTGGCGTAAACAAGCGCTCAAACAAAAAGACCCGACGCGAAGGTCAAGTCCGTGACTGTGACGCCAAGCAACTACACCCTGGATGCTCTGCCAAATGTGTGCCTTGGCTTCACCGAAAGCCTGGAAGGGCTATACTGCATTGATTACTATATACTATAATATATGTGTACAACATATGCTGTATTCCCTACACATACTATATATCCTGCAGGGTCCGGTTGCAGTGGAAGCAGATTCAGTAGAACAAGTCCCTGTAGGAGGTTGCACACAAAGTCGAAGCCGTTGACAGACATACCCGCACCAAGGTTTGCAGTGCCGGGCGCCATCACGAACTTTGGGAGCATGGTGGCCGCTGACCTGCGATATAAGGTTGCCACCAACCCGTTCTCAACGGAGCCTCAGAGGCCTTGCATACATAAATAAACAAATATATATATATATATATATATATATATATATATGTATATATATAGGTATATGTACATATATATTTACAAATTTATAAGTAGATATTATATCTGTATCTATGTGTAGATATAGATATGTCGTATTCGTGTATAGGAGTACTACTATCTGTCTATCTATCTGCACCCGAAGCCTTAAAGCTTTCCAAAATCAGAGCCACCAAAAGCAGGCGGTACACTGACTTGCGCGGCAAGTCTCGGGTTGCTCTCCCAAGAGCCCTGACTCTGAGGGTAGTTCCCGCAGAACCCGAAAACCTGAAGCCCAAAAGGGTCCAAAAAAACAAGAAACCCAAAAGCCGTAAAAGAAGCGTATTAAAAAAAAGAAACCCTAAAGCCTTAAATCCTTAACCCTAAGCTTCAAGCCATGTTGGCTCCAGCGCGAGCTATGACTTGCTGTTTGCCGATCCCATGCAAGCCTTGTCACTTCGTAAAGATGGCTCCTGTTTGACCCTTCGTCCTAGACCTCCAGTATGCTAGATTGGGCTTTGGAGTACAATACTTTAATTAACACTTGTTTCTTAAAGGAACTATTATCAAATGGAGGTTTATACGTTTTTCTCCTTGGTTATTTAAACGCGCAGTAGACGCTGGCTACTGACATCGGAACCTTCACCCCAAGCCCTAAACCCCAAGCTGGCAAACAGAAGCCTCACGCCGAGCTTCACTTGGGTGGTTGTCAAAAATCATGGTCCCTTTTGGGGTCCCTATCATAATGCGGCTCCTATTCTCTGGGTACCCAAAAAGAGGGATCTTAATTTTGACAATCACCCACTTAGAAGTGTAACTCAGGTCAACGGCCGAAGCTCCTTGTCGACCTCGTGGTTGAGGAAAGCACTATAGCGTAGTAGAAGAGTAGTATACACACATATACATACATATATAATTACATACATACAGACATACGTACAGACATACATACAAATATAAATACATACATACACAAACACACACACACACACACACATATATATATATATATATACATATATATATATATATGTATATACATATATATACATATAGATACATATATATATATATATATATATATATATATATATATTTATTTAAATTTTACCTATGTGCTAATTCATACAGAACGTCAGAATGTCATATAATCCTGTCTATCTATCTCTGTATCTGTCTATCTGTCTAGATTACGTATCTACATTTTTTCTGTGCCTATGTGTCTACACATGTATATTCATATGTAGATACATATTGCAGGCAGTGTTGACGTTTCCCGCCGTTTGAACTGCTCCTGGGTTCAAGACGAGTCGCCTCACGAAAAGGAAAATGCTCGGTTTATTGACGTCTGAGAGTTGAGGTTTCCTCATGCACAAGATCTCCGCAACTTGGTTCCAGTTGAGGATTGTCGGGCAACTCTGTGGTCCAGCGCACGGGCGTGCATGTAGGCGCTTCAGCGCGATTTCTGGCATTCTGACTGTTGACACGGTCGTGGCTGCAACTGCCTCCCCGCGTTTCATGCAGAAGATTACTAGGCACCACCGCAAGCACAGCAACGGTTGTGCATCTTATGAATTGTGGGATCACAAACGCCTTCTTGGACACCTTGTTATCAACATATGCATCTATCGGTCAAACACATATACATGCATGCAAACTCAAGCATAGTAGCTGCCAAAGCAAGGCATAGTGGCATACACAGGTGTTGCAAGGCCGACGGCTGTGATTCTGACAACTTTGTGGCCATCTCATGTCAACGTAGGCCGTGCGTAGAAACGACACATGTATACGACACCATACCACACCCTTGCATGTGTTCCTCTCGACGCGTGGATGTCCTTGCAGCTTCTGGTTGGGTTTGTGTGTGAATGTGTGTATGGCTTGTTTCCGCAGACTTTGGAACGTGGCCCCCATTCGTGCAAGTGTGGGCGGGAATCAAGGTGAAGCCGATCTCCTCACATAAGTACAACGGCAAGCACTATGCTGCGGAGCTCCAGGTGGGGCACAGATCCTGGGCCTCCATGTAAGGCCTAGCAAGCTCTTTATTTGAAGTTGAAGAACCTCTCGCTAGACGTGAGAGGCAGCAGGCGCGAGCCAGAGCATGTTTGCAAGACTGTTTTGCAGACGACTTGCAGAATATGAAGATGCCTTTCCTTAGGGCTTCTTATTCTTATTTTGTTCATACCAACAAAATGTTCCCCCCAAGCCCGCTCAGAATTTAAGCAGACTACCCCGTGCTTCACTTGCTCGAGTCTTTCAAGCATGTGCCTGTGAGGTGGAAGGCATCATGGATGGTGATGGCTTCAACAAGCTTGCCGAGCTTTCTGGGGCTCCTTTGCTTCCATCCGGCTTGAGACTCGTAAACGCCGAGGTCATGTTAATCATGCTAGTTGTCGAGTCGTCTGGCAGCTAGAAGCTTCTCGACTTGTGCACCACCGGGTCGAGCTAGAGCCGGCGCCGTGCTCCGCCGTGCTCCGGTGTTCGGATGTTGAGAGGAAGATTTGCAAGCCGTCTCGTTTTCGAGCCGTGTGGATCGTCTGTGTAGAGTGGGTCTGCGTGAGACATGCGTGTCCAGGACTAGGAATGTACTTCAGGGGGCCGTCCGCACTGTTCAGGTGCACGCAGGAGGAGATGGTGGACACAGTGGCGGAGATCATGGAGGTGAAAGCCATGGCTCAGACGCTGGACACAGTGCCGGTGGTCACAGTTCTGGCGACAGCCACGACAGCCACGATTCTGGCAGCCACAGCTCCGGTGACCACGCTGATGCTGGCCACTCCGACGGCCACAGCACCGACGGCAGTTTCAGCACAGACATCGGTCATGGCACCGTCGACCACCACGATGACCACGATGCTGGAGCTCACGATGCTCACGGTGCGGCTCGGCTGAGTTGTGCTGACTCCGGCGATAGACCGGCATAGGAGCGAGAGAGCTGGGCTTGAGATAGGTCGTAGTATTGGAAACTGAATACATGGTACGTGCAAGTTTGAGATCTCCATGCTGAGCTTCTGCATGTCAATGCGGCTGCGACTTTCGAGCCTCTAACACCACCCCCTGGTGCCCTCCAACCCTGATCCCCAGACTTCCCTACTCCTGACATGCGCACTTGGAGGTTTCCGCAAAAATGAGGAGCCATGGGTCATAGGTAGAGCCCACAGACTAGGATTCGCAGAAGGGCCCGGCAACGCCCCAAAGCGCAGGGAGAGTCCAAACCCCAAGAACCCCGCCAATCCCGAACAAATTCATGGTTTCTCCGAGTGCGAGTGCTGAACTCCCAACACCCATCGGAAGATTCTTGCAGCAAGCAGCACTCAGGGGCATCGGCGCCTGCAGGCAGCCGTAGAGGCACGATCGACGTATGCAAATGGCCTTTTCGGTTTTCCGCGTTTACGGCAGTCTGGGAATCGGCGGAGTTCGGACAAACGGGTTCAGGACAGAGTCGGCGTGTCCAGGGTTTTCGGGTTCAGCGGTTGAGGGCTCAGGAGGCCTGCCTGCAAACAAGGGGGTTTTTGGGGCTGTTGGTTTCGGGATTTTTTTGCTTCAGGCTGAGAGGTGCTTGTCACAATCTGAACCCAGAAAGAACCGGCCGCCGGCAACGGGAAGGTGGGGAGGAGCGTGAGAACGCGAGTAGCAAGAGCATCTTCCGACTTGGCTCCCGCCTTTGCAGCCGTTGGGCGTGGACGGGTGGAAAAGGGGTGGGAGGGACTCTGCATACAGGCCTCACGACGGCTGTTGCCAACAACCTCGTTTGTTGAATGTCCGACGTGTTGGGACTGGCAGGTTGTAAATACAGAAATGGAGGCCGACCCAAGGACACCATTCATGCAGAGTTTTTTTTGGGATGCACGGGGTGCCCCTGGGCTAAGTGTTTTATTATAGTATATTAGGTATACTGTATACTGTATCATGTTAGCATGATAAAGGTTATCGAATCCCCCCAAACCCTCTGAACAGTTCAGCTTGGCATCGGGCAAAGAGACGCTGCTTGCCTTACCTTTGGTTAGTAGGGAATGGAGGAATGGGGTACCATTATAACTACTATCACTACCATTCTTCCATTCCCTACCATTCAACCAAACCCTATGCTTCCAAGGACCTTATAGTTAGGGCCTAGACCCCTTAAGGATCCAATAATAAGGTCCCTGGAAGCCTAGGGAAAGGTAAGTTGCCAGGTCTTCCACCGCGTCATCTTGAGCGTTCCTATCGAGATCGGCACTGAAGCTCCTCAAAACCACGGTGGTATAAAATGGGAGTTTCCGACAGTTAGGGGGGTACCCTTTAAAGGTATCCTTTGAGGGTTCCCTACAGGGATCTATAGGGGTTCTATAAAGGGTTTAATAGGGTTTAGAGTTTCCGAAGATAAGGGGGTACGCTATTTTGGCGGTCCTTATGAACAGGGTCCTACTATTTAGGGTACCATGTTAGGGTCCCCTATGTTCCGAAACCCCCAAATGTGTTGCAAGACAAGACCGTTGCTGGATATGGCAAGCAGCGTCAAAGTAGCGGGGTCATTGCCTGGCAATTAGGTCAAGCACTGGATAAGCACGTGCTTCATTCATTGTTCACCTCTGCATGCAGTGTCTTTTGGCAGAGATACAGTCCACTACTTCCGATACTGCATGCAAAGGAAAATTCGCTCCTACGTGAATTGGGCCTGCCTTTCGATGCGTGACTTGGGTTCAGCACAGCCACCAATCGATCCGTCGTCAAGCCCGACAATGCCAGTCCAAATCCACACTAAGCCAGAAGGGTGGCACTTCAGCGTCGGATACGACCCGTGTGAGAGTTGTAGTAATGTCATAGCCCTAAACTTGCAGGATCTTCATCAATCAATGGTACCCCGAGACGTTTTAGATGCTAAACCCTAAACCTGGATTGTCCGAGTGTGAGCGCCGAAACCCCAAGACCTGTGTAAACCATATATTCAGTACCCTCCCGGTACTCTGTTCGAAAGCCATTACATGAACCCGGAATGACGCATGACTGGGCTTTTGGGATTCGTTTTTGGATTGCTTTTAGATTCGAAGGGGCTTTTTTCAAACAGGTTGTCAAAGCCAAGGCATATGTCTACATATATGTATGTGTGTATATATATATATATGTATATGTGTCAAGAAATGGGGCTTGTACTTTGATTCCAGCGGTCTGTTGCAAAGGTCTAGGCTTCAGGATCTCGGGCTAGGTTCTAGTTCTGGGGTTGAGGATTCAGGAGCTCAGAACGTGGGCGGACTCGTGGCTGACTAAGAGCCCAGCTGCAAAAGTGGCCGGTTCTAGGATGACTCCACGAAACTGTCGGAAACGATAGGGTGGACCTGGCCGTTGCAAAGGACCCCTGGGAGGTTTCCCCGACCCGAGCTCCATAAAAATTCGTTTTTGTTAGTATTCCGGTTCCCCGGCAGTTGAACAGGCTCGGTTGCGAGAGGGTTCAACGGGTTTGGGGGTGCATCTCGTGGGGCTCGGGTTTCTGCGGCTTTTGGATGCAGCAGGCCTTCGTGTGAGGCACCTGAGTTAAAGCCGACACACCGATATTGCGTGAGATAGGGGCTTCAATAATTAGAAGAGGGTTTTGGGGGGCACATGATACGATAATTATAACAAGGACCCCCCCTTCAAAAGAAAAAATAGATAGGTAATTATCAAGGCCCCTATATCACATGAGGTTCATGTGCTCAGGTACAAGGACTCGATCAGTGCCATGCACCCATACCAGATCGAGAACACTGTGAACCTCCGAAGCGCTCTCTCGAAGGTCTGAGGGGCTGGGGGGGACCTGTGAAACCCCAACCATGCCTAGACCGTAAACTTAACTGGGTGGTTGTGAACATTGGGGGCCCTTTTTGGGTACCCTAGATATTAGGTGCCGTATTACAATAGCGACCCAAAAAGGGACCATAATTTTGACGACCACCCAACTGTGGTTGAGAGCTGTGAGGTGTATAGGCTTTAGGCAGGGATTTAAGGTCTAGGCTAAAGACTAGGGTTCGGAATAGTAATCCCTCGCTCGTCGTAGCTTTCTGTTTTGCACCCAAGGATCTGCTGTTCTCATGCCGGCCTGTCTGAATATAGGATAAGAAAACCTCTAACATGAAGATAATAATGTGGTACCCTAGTACCCCCCCAAACTCCATTCTACTCGTACAGGCCCCCTTGATTATGCAGAAACCGACTAATCTAGCAATATTGTTGCCTCAGTTGAACCTGCAATTGTGAGATCAGCCCCTTTCGTTCAGCGCGAAGATCCAGACAGCGGGACTGCCACTACCAATTCGTCAGTAACTCCGATCGATAGCTATTTGTAGCAATGATGCCAAGCAGTCGTGACATAATAGCGACTCATCAAATCTTAGCACCAGCAACGCCATCCGCCAGTTATCTAGCCTCGAGAAGCTTGCCCGAGCCTTGATTTTCAGACGCAGACGTGTCCAAACGCAAAACTTCAACTCGCGGGAACTAGTCAGGTTTGGATTTGCGATTGCCCTAAACCCAAAACCCTAATCCTCTAATTAGACCCTAAAGCCCTAAACCCTAAACCTCTAAACCCAAAACCCTAAACCTCTAATCAGACCCTAAACCCCTAAACCAGGGCAGCGAGGGATCCGCGGAGTCTCAAGCCCTCCAGCCCCGAGCCCTCAAGACCCTAAGCCAACCCCAAAACCCTGAATCTTACCTTCGGTTAGTAGGGAATGGAGGAATGGGGTACAATTATAACTACTATTGCTACCATTCTTACATTCCCTACTAAGCAAAGGTAAGGAATCCCTCGCCCCCTGTAAACCTCTAGGCCCTACGCCCAAAGCCCGAAGCACCTGCGGAGTTTCAGCTTGACATCCCTGAGGCATTGGACGGGCCATGGATGTGGTACAGAGGCCAGCAGTCTCATTAGATGTCGAAGCCTAGACGCCCAGGCGTTAAGCCTTCTATGCACGAGGCTCTCCAGGTTCGAGTTATGGGGTTCAGGGCCTACGATAGGGGCCTTAATAATTACCAATACTACTTTGGGGTTTCCTCTTATAATTATAGCACAACGGGCCCCAAAAACCCTGCTCTAATTATTACGGCCCCTATATTATAGTAGAAGCCAGAAAGTTGGAACATGCCCTTAAGGTCAAGTATAAGGGATCCTAGCACTCATCCTCCTAAACCCATGTTCCAACTTTCCGGGATTCACTATAGGGTTTCGGGAGTCCTTGAACCCCCAGGCCTCAAAGGAGCGGACAGCCGTTGTTTTAGGCCCGAAACTCAGGATCCCTTGGGCCTGAAACTCCCCTGAAGTTTGTTGAAAAAGAGCTTCGCTTTCAAAAAAGGGGGGGTGCATGGTCTTTCGGACGTGTGGGTTGACCGAAGAATGGTGGCCTCCTTGGGTTTGCTGTTCTGGTCTTCAGAGTGTTTCGGGAGTCGTTGGGATGGTCGGTGACCTCGCTTCGACGATGTGTTGGCTGTCCTCCTCTGCCGAAGAGAAAGCCCGCAGGTCCTGCGGGGAGCATGCGGTTCAAGTTGCATGCATGTTCGAACAGGCTGTCCTCAAACTCCTCAACCCTTCATGATGAACCTTGATGATTTGGAAGGGTCGGAGGCAGACAACTCCGTCTACTGCTTGAGCATTGGGGTACCCCCTAAATCCCCTAAACTAGGTATCGATCTGGGATAATGTCTAATTTCCCTTATCGTTTCACGTAGAGCCCTAACTACTCTTGCGGACTGCTGTATTCGACACCTAATATGACATCAACCCTGCGCCCCAAGAAATCCCTCAATCAAGGCTTACGTCTTGAACCCTAAACCCCAAACCCTAAACCCAAAACAAACCCTAAACCCCAGACCCTAAACCCAAATTCATTTTGGCTCAAGCAGTTTTTTGCTTGCAAAGCTCTCAGTGCGGATCGGAAGCTGCCCCCGAAGATCACGATGGCTCTCCTTCGGATTTTGGTTGCCCTGGGAGTCGTAGTGGCTGCTGAGCCGGCCGTTTCGGAGCTGGATACCAGCAACGTCCCCGGTCGGCAACTTACCGTGGTCAGGGTGAAGACCTGCCCTACGGCCCGACTGGGGGGCGATCTTCCGATCCCCTTCATCGGCACGATGTCTGGAGCCTTGCCAGAGCCAGATGCTGTGCGTCCGAGGTTCCAGGCGATGGAGCGCGGCATGCGCTGGGTCCCCGGCTGGCAGCCTCTCGACGAGCCCGAGGCGGTGCTGCCCACCGCCGTGGACATGCCGGACGTTTCAGCCAGGATGCCGAAGAGTACCACTGCAGCTGCGATCACCGCTCAGATCTCTGGCGTGGATGACAAGCTCCAGTCGCTGAGTGACCGCCTCTCGGACAAGTGGTGCGGTCAGCTCAGCAAGCAGATCAACGAGCTCATCGACCAGGTGGACTCAGGCATGGGAGGGCTGAACCGCCAGCTGGCGAATGCAGACAGTGCCACGTGCTCTGCCAATAATACGACTGACCCGGACCGCCTCCGGGAACTACGTGACAAGACACGTGAGGTCTTGGCGCGTGTCGAGTTGTTCGACAAGAACCTGAGAAGGTCCACGGCATGCTCGGAGCAATAGCGAAGGCCGTTGAGGGCATAGATCCCCCGAGGGCCCTGTTGGAAATCTCCAAGCCGATGATGGAGAAGCAGGAGCAGCTCCTGCGGAGCAAGCTGCAAAGCGTGGGAGAGGACGTGAACCTCCTCAAGGGCCAAGCTCACACGCACCATGGGGAGAGCAACAGACTGATCAAGAGCTTGGAGAAGAGCCTGGCGCAGATGCAAGCGGTCGTGGACGGCCTTGCCGTCAACATGGCACATGTGGGGGCGGCTTTCGGCAAACCGCCTGTGGACAGGGACAGACGAGAGCCCTGGACCTGCTCTTGAAGCTTGGTGAAAGCTTGGCGGAAAGCGTGGGCCTCACCCAGGAGCACCGCGAGATGACCAGGGAGTCACTCACGAGGGCCCAGGAGATGAATGGCACCCTCATGGAGCTCCGGGACCTCATAGCAGCACTCCGCCAACCGCCGCAGTACGGAACCGCCTCGCACAGCACGGGTCTGCATGGACAGGGGGCTCGATCGAGCCCAACGGTGATTGACTTGCAAAGCAGGTTGCCACCCCGTACCAACACTGGGTTCGCCACGATTTCGTACCCAGATGGTAGCATCAAGATGATCCCGACTGATAATCTGCCCTAATCACTTTACTTGCCTGACCTAGTCCTTTACCCTTCGTGGATCATCTTGTGTTACTGTGTGGCATGGTAGTATTGCATGTGATGATTGCAGGAATGGCTCGGATGTGATCTTTGCTCTATGTGCTTGTATTAAGTTATTGTCAGATGAGTGCCAGCCTGCAGCAACACGAATCACAGAATTCAGACGTTACACAATATGGCATGAATTCTAGAATTTAGTACTCCTTGCTTGTATAATTATGCATGCTTCTCCGAACTCTGCAAGTGCGGTTTAGGCTCCACTGGTTGTGAAACTTTAGGTCAGCCTTTTTGTAGAGTCTGGAGACGTGCTGCACACATTTTGCTTCACGCCGTCTGTGCATTGTCAGTATGTCGTCAAATGCATGACCTGAATTCATTGCACACAATAGCACAACGAACCCTGTCATGTGGTTGCTGTATGCGACCGATGGGCGACCTAGCGCACCAAGTGCTAGAACCACGTCAAACAATACTGTAGTATATGCATGCATGCATGCACGCGAATTTAATGCGGGTGACCTCTGGCTCGGCTGCCTCCTCAAACCAAGCACTTGCTTTTTTTAGTATGTCATTACCTGTTTTCACATGGCGAGTTATGTTCTTTGGTTCTGCAGTTTTGGCACCGCTGCCTCAGTGAGTGTTGCTTGAAAGGTACGTGCATGAGCAAAGCCACACCACTGCATGCGGACGGTGACAAAATGAAGGGAGCGACCAGTGACCACAGTTGTGTGCTGATGAGAGCTTTAAAGCCTGGAGCCTTGGTACCCAGTAGGAAGAATAGTGGGTGCAGTGGTCTGACGAATGTTGGAGCCTCATTACCATGCCAGCTTTCAGCAGGTTCATAGGACGGCCAACCACTCCACAATCATGCCTGCTTTCATCAGGGTCACTGGACGGCCAATCACTCCACAATCATGCCTGCTTTCATCAGGTCCCCCACTTACTTGACAAGGTAGACCCTGTCTCTGGAGAGCCACCGGGAATAGGCATGTAACTGGAGAGAATGACTGGATACTCGCCTAAACAAAGCCTGCGACTGTCTAAGTTTTACACGCTCCGCGTAGATGGGTGGTGCATGCGATGATGCAATGCTGCCTCAATGATGTCGTTGCTTGGTCGTTGTCTATGGTCGCTCTGCCACAAGTAAGGACCTCGGGCTGAGACAGTTACCATTATCTGAGTTATTGTATGTTGGCCTTTCCCTTACCCCTGAGTCCATACTTCGCATCCACTAAACCTGGAACTGACCCCCGCGCCAGTGCTGAGCCATGGCCGACCGAGCTAGATCTCGTAGCCCGCGGGGCACTCGGGTGCTGCCGGATCCTATGGGCGAACCCGACGCAATCAACCTGCGAGAGCGAGGAGTGCCGTTGATACTCATACGGCAAACTGGTCAGGCCATCTGGGCACTGAGGGAGCACAGGCCAGAAGATGCTATGTGGACGTTGGCAGTTTTCAGGGGGGTCATTAGAGACACGAAAGACAGTATGGCCGCGCTGGAGGAAGTCCTGAACACACGTATCGGGCCCATTGCTCGTACACCTCAGGTAGATGAGCGACGTGAGCTTCTCCAACTCCTTGGAGATGTGGCCAGATCGGTTCCGAAGGCGGCCGTGCAGTGCACACAGAGCAGATTGGAGAATACGTGGCTGGAACCCGACACGCTACCCCCTGATGCACAACCAGTGCGTCGACGAGTGTTGGCAGCATGGTGGAATACTGTGGACCCAGTGGCATGGCAATGGAGCCGTACGCCATATGGAGTTTATCTGCATGCATGAGCACAACGATGAGCTGGGAAACACTACGACCGGGTTCTGGAGTGGATCTGCGCTGCAACTACACGGTCACTGTGACCGAATACCTTTCTGGATGCTGCTGATGGCAAATTCTGCAATGCACGTATGAAACACAACGGCCCCCTACGACAATATGGAGGTATTGCACAATACATGATACGGAATTTATTTTGCATGAGCTGGCACAACGATGGGCTGGTGAACAGTACCTGCACGATACGGCCACCACGATGCATGGACCCTTGCGCTTGGTGACGAGCCTTGCTTTGGAGGGCTTGAACTGCGTGGAATTCAAGTTGGCATGGGAGCTACGTTTTTTTGCGGGGTGTTGGTGACGAGCTGACAGTGCATGACGAACTGGCGGTGCATGGATTTTGCATGGGTGTGGAATTCACAGGCCCAGGCAATGATGCTGCACCTATGGCATCTCTGATGTGCTTTGAGAGAATTTGAGGTGCTTGCACCTGTATGAAGCCAAGTTGATGGGAATGAGGGACGGCTGCATGAAACATGTTGGTGAGGGAATTTGTTTGCATGTGCATGGTGGAGTAAGCCGAGATGAGCTGATCTGCATGATATAGTGGTGATCGTTGTCCTTTTGACTTTTGAAAAAGAGATGGGCCTCAATGTAGGCTGTCGCATGAAGGACGGGGCCACCCCACTGAGCTGAGACGGGTTGTCACATCGTGTTTTAGTTACTCAATGATCTGGGTTGGTTGTTTGTTTCCATGGCCTCCGTCTGGCTTAGTCTGGTGGGTCGCTGTCGCTAGTGGAGATCCCGTGGACCATGTGGAGCCTTGCCTGCTGCGTGCGAGTGTGAGCGTCGAAAACCCTAATTCGTCCTTGCGAGGTAGGAGGAAAAACGCCTTAATAAACCCTGAACCCCAAACCCCTAAACCCTAAACCAAGTGCATGAGGCGGCATGGTGACCCCAGGCTGCCCCGACTGGGGAGTCAGATGGCTGATGCTGCAGTGCCTCCGCTCGACATAATCACGACCTTCCCATCAAACTCAGCAGAAAACCTCCATAATTCTGATGGGGCGTGGGGGTGCATTTTTATGGATAGTCGTTTAGTAAGCACATAGGGAGATGCCTAGCTTTCTTCATCCTGTCCTTCGAAGTGCCTTCGAACCTTTTCACGATATCGGCTCATGGGGTTGTTCCTACAATCTGGGTTTAGGGTTGAGAGTCGCCGCTTCCGGGTCGCTAGAGCAGTCGCTCTGTGAGAGCATCCTCAGGACCCCTCTGCAAGCAAGCTTTCTGCAGCTGAACTTCTTGGACATGAAGGCAGAGCAAGAAGTCATGCTTGAGGGCAGAGCAAGAAGTCATGCTTAAGAAGCTCAAGGATTTTCGGGTTGGATTTCGGGATTTGCGGGCAATTCTGGAAGACCCGGGGTGTGGCTTCCGGCCGCTTAAATCGGCACAAACGTTTCTCAGAGCCGGGAGTCAGATTCCCGTTTTACAACCCTGGATGGACCTTGGCCCAAGCAAAAGCACGAATGAGCTACAATCACCTCGAGACCGACCTAAACCAGACAAGCGTTAATAGGAGTGCTGAGACCCCAAACATAAATGCTGCCACCCAACGCGAAAGTTCGTGCTGAGCTGGCAGGTGTCAGGCATGGACTCCACGCGGGTGTTCCCCGTGGAGATGGATGAGGCGACATACAAGGCACCGAGCCCTAAACGCCTAGCCTGAAGAGTACGAGTGTCAGCGCCGAAAGCTGTTGTTTCGAGATGAGCTTCGGGTAATATTGTTTGAGGCAGCAGCTGTATTCAGGCTGTTCGGGTAGAGGTGAACAAAGGTCCCTCCCGTGTGTTTGGAGTTTAGGGTTCGCAAAGGATCTGCGGCTTATGCACTACCATGCTCATTGCCGTGGGTGTCCATGCCCCATCACGTAGAACCAGAGTTCAATGCTAAAACCCAAAGCTCACCCACTCAACTGCACGCCGTTTCGATAGGGTGGGAATTGCTGCGTCTCTCTAGTGTAGTCCCTCTTTGGTCTAGTCCCAGGCCCTATATTCGAAGCTTGAAGCCCAAACTGACGAATCGGCCCGTCAGACCACCGTGTTCAAGCAGAGCTTGCCAATGATGGCGGTAGACAAGCACAGCACCTGCGACGAACACGAGGTGCCACGGGCTTTCAAGCAGAAAGCTTTTTTTCAGCCGCAAGTTTGGCGCCACGATTGTTGCCGTCACCATCGTCGTGGTAGTAGTAGCCGCGGTCGTAGTCGTTTTCGTCGTCGTAGTGGTAGTTGTAGTGGCAGCAGGAGCAGTCATGGTAGTAGTAAGTAGTAATTAAGCACCAAGCAGGAAGCCAGCAAGCCGAATCAAGCAGTACACCCTCAGATGTCCTATTGCGGCAATGTATTTGTCGTGTGGCCCGTGTGGGCGCGCGACTTGAGCAGCTTTACCATCATCACTAATATCGCGGCCTACTGCTACCAACAACTACTACTACTACTACTACTACTACTGCTACTACTACTGGGAATGGAGGGCCACTGTTTGAGACCAACATTTTTCAAATCTTGCTAATCTAGCAAAATGGGCCCGCAAGTGGTGCAACTGGCGCAAGTGGTGCCAGTGGTTCAAGCAGTGCAAGTGGTGCAAGGCAAAACGGGCAAGTTTGAAAGATTGCCCCGTCCTCCCCCCCCAAGCGGTGCAAGTGGTGCAGGTGGTCCGCGTGGTGCAAGTTCAAGTGGTGCAAGGGGTTTTAGGGCAAGCTTGGTGTCAATGTTGCACCCCCTCGCCAAAGCAAGATTGCAAGATTGATGGTACCATCTTCGTCGAATATCGGATCTCTTGTCCCACTACTACTAATTACTACTCCTCCTCCTCCTCCTCCTCCTCCTGCTGCTGCTGCTGCTCCTGCTACTACTGGTCCTACTTCTGCTACTACTACTACTACTACTACTACTACTACTCCTACTGCTACTGCTACTGCTACTGCTACTCCTACTACTACTACTACTACTACTACTACTACTACCACTACTACTACTACTACGACGACTACTACTACTACTCCTGCTGCTGCTGCTGCTGCTGCTGCTGCTGCTGCTGCAACAGTTACAACAACAACAACAACAACTACTACTACTACTACTACTACTACTACTACTACTACTACTACTACTACTACTACTTCTACTACTACTACTACTACTACTACTACTACTACTACTACTACTACTACTCCTACTCCTACTCCTACTCCTACTGCTACTGCTACTGCTACTGCTACTGCTACTGCGACTGCGACTGCGACTGCGACTGCGACTGCGACTGCGACTGCTACTGCTACTGCTACTGCTACTGCTACTGCTACTGCTACTCCTGCGACCGCAGCAGCAGCTGCTGCTACTACTACTACTACTACTACTACGACTGCTACTACCACCGCCTCTAGTTACCCACGACTCCAAGCGATTTCTACCAACACTCCGCCGTCTCTGCTGTTGCTGCTCCTGCAGTTTTTTTGGCGGTGACGAAGGTCTTAGGATCTCCCTGTGCAGACGTGAGAATGAACAAGGGCTTTGTCTTTGTGATGGTGTTTGTTTGGTCAACATGTCTAGCTTGGTTTAGGTAGGGTGAACCGCTAAACATGTTGACGATGGTGGTGAGGATGCTTTGACGATGACGGAGATAATGACAACCGACTGGGAACTTTGTCTAGACGACTGTCTTCCCTTGGGACGCCGAAGGAGTGGAACTACGACAACCCAAGCTGCTGGGCTCAGAAGTCTCCTGATCGCAACAATTGTACCAGGGCACTGGAGTTGGTCTGGATCTTTGGCCAACAGCCTTGTGCCCTGCAGGGAAAACCCCGCAGCCCTGTAACGCCAGCAAGCGTGGAGATTGTCACAGTGTGCCTGGACCAGACGGAGTTCAGGGTTCGGGGCGCTATGGAACCACAAAGAGAGTATGCGAGTCCATGTCCTCGCGAAAACTCGAGCTCCCAGAAGCTCAAACGACTGCAAAGCTGCAAAGCAAACCTGCCCATATACTGAATGTGCAGAATGCTAAGGCACCCGATTTGCGCCCAGGGGGCGCTGCAATCGCCGATTCACATCGAGAGGCGACGGAAACCTTTCAAGAGGGAGCACTGTAAAGGTTTGTTAGAGGCACTTCGGAATGACCCCATGAGCCCGCACTCGTCATCCTAAGCCCGAATCTCAAAACAACCCAAGCTGCTGAGCCCTAACGCCCCTAAAGCCTCTGAGGGCAAAGGGTTGCGAATGGGGGTATTACTGCAGCATCTGCATCAGCTCATAGGTTCCCCTTTTTATAATGCGCATAAATGTGGTTAAAGAAGCCTATGTTGTTTTAAAAAGCCGTTGCAGGCCGACGGTGACAACGAAGGGCAAGGACAACTTCCTCAACAAGTGCAGCTGGCGTCCGGTCGCTGGGTTCCTGATAATGGAAGTTTAAGAAAAATTATACAGGATCCCTTATACTTTACCTTAAGGGCATGAGGAGTCTAGTGTTCCAACTTTCTGGCTTCTACTATAGGGGTACCCCAGGGTTCCTTTAAAGGGTTACTATAGGGTACTATAAGGGTCTCCTTAAAGAGGTTCCGAAATTATGGGGTCCTCACAATCGGGATCCTATACTACATTAGGGCCCCCGATTTTCGGAAACTCCCATATTTGCTTTCCAATCTGAGTTACCACAGCAGGGATACATCGAGTTCTTGTGAAGGAGCCAAAGTCTTCACGACATGAGAGTTCCTCAATACTAAGCCCTAAACTTCTGAAGCCTTTTCAGCCTGAGTGAACAGACGGCTCTTGACTTTGTGGTCTTTCTGAAACCCTAAACCTAAAACCCTACAATGAGTGTCACTCAACAGGTCCTGCTGAAACCCTAAACCCTCAACCCAAAACATGCCTCGCCTGGATTGTCCGAGTTTGAGCGCCCAAACCCAAGACCTTACAATGAGTCTCTTAACCCGAGCCAAGGTGACCGGCTTGCATGTCGTGCCCGCGCCCCAGGGGTTTTCCAGGGGCGAGGGGCTCATATACCATAATATTCTGTACCAGAAGATACCCAAGCACACCGCGACATACCATAAGATACCACAAGATATATACCGTAATATGCCATGATATACTGTAACTAGTACGACCTTTCAGCTCTCTGGGGATGCAGAGATCCAAAGCCGTGTCCACGAATCCCACGACATCGAAGCCCCGTCTCAGCAAGTGCTTGCTCAATATGTCGTGGTTCCCTTCGAAAAAAGGTGCCGTATGCAGCAACGGCAAGAAAGGCACCAAGTCCAGTTCCCTAAGGCCAACCCTCAGCCTACACCCTGAGCTGACTCGAACCCTGCATATGGGTGGTTGTCAAAATTATGGCCCTTTTGGGTCCCTATTATAATACGGCACATATTGTTTAGGGTCCCGAAAGGGGACCATAATTTTGACAACCACCCACATGTTTGGTCAGAGCCCCCATGCGTCCGACTTGGACATATCAGGAATTTTGGAAAGGGCCTCGCCATTCCGACCAACCAGATGGGCAGCTTGCCTGATAGAGTGTAGACTTTCTGTGGCACAGCCAAGAAGATGAGAAAGCAGCGGGAGACTGAGAGATACTATAGGGGCCGTAATAATTAGAATAGGGCTTTGGGGTACTATACTTATAATAAGGAACCCCAAAATAGTATTGGCAATTATTAAGGCCCCTATTGTAGACATCGACAGCCAGGCTACATCACGCTGACCGGCGAGGACAGGGCACCCCACACCTCTGTGAGATTCGACAAGACAGGGGCTGGAGTCGCACAGCGAAGCCTGGACCAGAACCTGGGGACAGCACGTAGTCACTAGTACCAGTAAGTCATGCGCTGCCGGCACGAGTATTCGTAGCAAAGTAGTGCTAGCCAACGGACATGGTTTACCTCGACCGCGACACGACGACCGACGACTGCTCTTGACAGCTCTGAGCCGCTGAAAGCCGCAGGATGGCTTTCCCGACTTCTTCGAGGCTGCGGCTAGGGGATCCAGGGATTCGGGGCCCAAAGCCTCCAGGAACTTCGAGGGTTGCTTCTTTTTTCCTTGCTTCCTTCGACGCCCTAGCTCTGGCTGTTGCAAGAGTTTTTTTTTGCTTCGCCTGCGGAAATTCGGGATTTGTGTTGGATCTTGGCCGTCGTGGCGCCAACTACAGGTTGTGCAGTTGCAGCTGCACATGCCCTCGGAGCACATGATTGATGGCAAGAGCTTTGCTGCCGAGCTTCAGGTCGTGCACAGGCCGGGTGGGTTCAGGGCCCATCTCGACGCACCACTTCCTGCAACGCAGCAGCAGCAGCAGCAGCAGCAGCAGCAGCAGCAGCAGCAGCAGCAGCAGCAGCAGGGACAAACTTTGCCGGCGGGCTAGATATTGCCCCTTTAAACCCTAGAACCTGAATCCTGGTTCGTTTCACTCAGCAGACTCCGAACCATAATATGCCTCGCCCGGATTGTCCGAGCGTGAGCGCCGAAACTCTAAATCCTAAACCCTAAACCCTGAGTGGGGTGTGGACATGCACAGGCTTTGAGCTCAGAGTGATTGTGCGCCAAAAAACCCTAAAGCCCTTCAGCGACTCACTTCGCAAAGTACGTCCTTAGGGGTCCTTGCTATCTATAATGGAGACTCTGAAGTCAAAAACAAGAGCAATTGCCCGGAATCGATGATAGGGTACTGCCGCCATACAGTAAAGGTCCATATAATAGGGCTTCTATTAAGGTCCGACTACATATATATATATATATATATATATATATATATTATGAATCCAAACCTAGATATGGGTTCAGGGCTCCTGTTCGGCAAGGTGGGAACGACATGTAGCATCCCTGCGGCAAAATGAGATGCACTCTACCATGAGTTTCCGACAGGCATCAGGCGACGGTGACGCAAGGAGTCAACAGCGCGGAGTCTTTCCCCTTTGTCCCTTGGCGGAGTTCGGTCCCAGGTTCTAGGATATACGTCTCGCAAGGAGCTTTGGAGATCTTGGTCAATGGATGGGCCCAGACCACGGCGTTCGTGCTGTTGGCCCAGCGATACATCGGAATCGTGTATCGTCTCCCATCCATACTTGGAGAACCATGCTGAGCCTAACTTGTAGTGGGACCATGTCGTAGCCAAGGGGCAGAAGGCACGTGGGAACCGGAGGTCACAGAGGAACCAAAGAGACCTACCGGCACCATGGTAAATGCTCGGGTCTCGCATACTTTCATGGATAGTTGTCTGTTTGTTAGAGACTGCCCTTCTCAAACCGAAGTCCACTTCTCATGCAGTTGCAGTTGGGTGATCCACATGCTGAGACGAACTTGATGGTGCTGACCTTGTTGAGTTTAAGCCTGTGGCGCACTTGATCGATGCGGGTGGGTTGTCTGTCAAGCCTTTGTGTGCTTTCGAGCGCTGAGCCAGTCGAAGCCCTGCAGTGCTATCCTATCCTCAAGTTTCAGCGCCCGGCGTTCCACATTTCCGGTGCCTTTGTCTTCACAATGCCTGGCACGAGGTCACGGCTTCTTTCATGTTCCAGATGGGCGAAAAGGACAGTGGCCAGACACGCAAGGATTTGGGAGTTTCCGAAAACTAGGGTCTTCATAATAAGGACTAGTACCCCCGATTTTAGGAAACTCCCATTTAGGTCTGTGTGGTAGCTCGGCTCAGTGGCAGTGCATGGCATCCTTGGTTCGGCGTCAGCTGCCACGATGGGTTTCTGCAGAGCATCCAGCAGGGACCCAGGAAATCTTCTGAAAATCCGCAGCTCTGCAATGCGGCGGGCAGTGCCGCATCACGACCAGCACAGCAGTAGCGACACTGGACACCGTGAAGGCATCATCTGCACCAGAACAAGCCTGAACCAATCCCTGCCGTCGCTGTTAGCACCAGCATTCATGTCAATCTGCATCGGCGAGAACAGCACGAATCGTGCTACAAAGAGCAATAACAGTATGCAGAAGAGGATACACGAGTGCCATGATTTCAGCAGGTGTCAAATCAGCAGCAACAGAGCGGCAGGAGCAG